GCCACAAGGTGCAAGAAGCAGCCAGGTAAGTTGCAGAGCCCTCCCCCTGGCCCACCTTCAGGTACAAGCTCTCCCTCCTCTGTGAGGGCAGATCTGCACATTCCCCCCCCCCCAATAGCTAGCAATCCAAAACAGTCCAGTGGAGCCTGAGTGGTGGGTGTTGCCTTCTGACACAATCCCAGTTATGTCAGGGGGTGGGGCATATGCAAATAAGTTATGCTAATAAGTTATGCTAATGAGCTCCTGAACCTCTTTTTCTACGAAATGACCCCTGCTCGTTTCTTATACTAACATGTGTTACCTTCATAGATGAGGGTGAAATTGCTTCACAGCTCCTAATTTCTTATTCATTATATTAGGATTCAAATAGTTTATATATTAGTTGAGATGAGACAAGCTTCACAGAGAAACCAGAGATTTAACTAGTGGGTACAAGTTAATCTTTTGCCAACCTAGCAGTTCGAAAGCAAAAAATTGCAAGTAGGTAAATTAGGTACCACTTCGGTGGGTAGGTAACAACCTTCCGTGCACCTTGGTGCTTAGTCACGCCGGCCACATGACCACGGAAACGTCTTCAGACAGCGCTGGCTTTTTGGCTTTGAAATGGAGATGAGCACCCCAACCCTAGTGTCGGACTCAATTGCTTTTGAGCAAGGGAACCTTTACCTTACAAGTTAACTAAACACTTAAGGAATCTTTTAGACAATGTATGTGAAAACTCAAGCTTAGACTCTGCCCCAACATGGAAGGCTGATATGACCGCTAAATGCACCTTGACAGAGAAGGTGGCAAGGCCGGAATCCACCAAAGAGAGTATAGAGTTTTGAAAATCTCTGATAAAGGGCAGGACTCTGTCTGATCTTCCTACCTAGTGCCCATGCAGTAAAACATTGCCAGTTGGCATTATAAAACCTACGAGTAGATGGCATATGAGCAGACACCAAAACATAAGCCACTTTGTCTGACCACTGGTTTACGGTGAAACTAACCATGCACTGAGGTGTAACATTTCTATATTGTCGCAGTGGACTGGTCCTGAAATTAGTAGGTCCCTCACTGGAGGTAGAGGTATTCTGCCTTTGGTCAGTTTCCATGTTAGGAACCACATCCTTGTGGGCCAGAAGGGTGCTATTAGAATACAAGTGCTACTGTCTGCTATCAGGTTCAACACTACATAGTGGAGCAGGGGGGAAGACCATAATACTATGGCAGGTGGAAGGCGTCTCCCAGGGACTGATTGTCCATAGCTGCTCTTGAGCAGTAAGCCTGACTTTGTGTTGTGTGGATAGCGATGTAAAATTATGCATCCTTTAAATCTAGGACTGCAAACCAAGAACCTTTGTCGATGAGGGGAGGGATATCGTCTAGGGTCAGCATGCAAAACCTGTGAACTATTACTTAAGTATTATCTGGAATAGAAACTTGTGTGCTCTTCTGGGGGGGTACCTTCTATACAGCCTCTTTCTGAATGAGTTGATGAATCTCTTGCTGTAGAAGCAAGTGTGAAGTTGTTTCTTTGGGTCTAAGACTGACCCAATTTCATGCCACGAGCGGCATTTCTTGAAAAGCTCCATCAGAATAATAATTCTAGGTCTGGAAATCAGAAAACATGATTTTGTCAAATAAATCTCTGCAAAGCTGTGATATGTCCTCTCTCCATGGTGACAGAAAAAGGACTGAGGGAAGAGTACTCCCACCCACCCCCACTGTTAGGGTGGGAACAGAGCCTGGAGCTCTGATTGTGCCAAGGGGAAAGGGAAGCACTCAGTTTAACTTTCTAGAAGCTTGGGGAAAATCTTCCATAGCAGGCCTGCTCTCAGTCCCATGTGGGACTGCACAAGACACAAAGATGAAATTGTAGTTATGAAGCTTTTTGCTAACAAGCTGCCATGTTTTTCTCCCCAAACTAATCTGTGAAATATAAGAAACATCTTGAAATGCTAGACGCCCATAACAGTATTGCCAGCATTCAAGCCTCAGTTTCTGTCTGTAAAAGCCGGGAGAAAGGGTAGGGCCCTTTCCAAGTGCTGTTTTGAACACATCAGGGCCAGGCTTGCCAACAACCACCAGGTGACTTGCTACCTCTAGATTTACATGACTCATTCAGGCCTGGCTGATTACTGCTGTTCAACAGCAGCCACTCCACAAAAGCCAATGTTGTATACTATAGTGGTTCAAGCTTCAGACAAAGGCCTCTGAGAACCACCTTTAAATCACCACTGCCATGGAAGCTCACTGGGTCAGTTACACATTCTCAGCCTAACCTACCTGACAAGGTTGCTGTGAGGATAAAATGGAGAATGATGTAAGCTATTCTGGGTCCTCATTGTGGAGAAAGGTGAGGTATAACAAATGAAGTAAATAAATATAAATGGGGAGTCGATAAAAAGGAAGGTTTGTTGTGGGTGGGGATAAAAGGAAGCAGGGAAATGTGAGGATATGGAAGCTGCCTGGAGGAGGAACAAGTGTGGAGAGGGATACAGGAGAAAGTGAGTTGCCCCCTGCAAATCTTTGGGTTTCCCACTGCACAACTGGACCTGGCCCAGACCCAGACAGCAAGGCCTAACAGGGTTTTCCTGGAGAGAGGTGCCAGTGGACAGGAAGGAGAGAAGGAAGCAGGAAATGAGAGTGGTTATAGAGGCTTTCAGGGAAAGAATAGTGGTGGAGGGGGAAATAAGATGACCCTTGCTTGGCCCCAGCTTGTGACTATTTATAATTACTGCACTGCTTTTGTACATAAAATACAAGAGTAACCTAATTTTTGTAAATTTGTTGGGTGTGCTCTCCCCACAGTGGGTTACACTGCAAGAAACTCCCTTGGTACTTTGAGCCTTAACATTTAACTCGCAGTTCCACTCCTTAAGAACCTTGACAGTAACTACTATTGGGGTTGGATCTAAACTAAATATTCTACTAATGGAAAGAAAGGCCTAATTTCCATCAGTTCCTCCTGCCTATGTGCACAACCCTCCAGGATCAGCATTTCAGGGAGATCAATGGACTGCTGGGGGAGCAGGGTTCTGTTCTGCTAACTGAAATGTCAGAAAATGTAGTCTGGCTCCAACCCATGATGTTTGTATATCATTTCCCTGGCTCACACTCAATTTTTCCACCTTCCAGATTGAACAAGAATTACCTTTCTATAGCAATGGAGATATAAGCCAGGAGGCACAACTGAGCTCTGAGCACCTTTTTCTTACGGATCTCGTCACCCATCCCATCTCCCCCACCCAGCATTTTAAACAGTGCTTAACTGAGAAACAGAATGGTGGAAACTGTTTAATAAGGCAATCTTCTTTCCAATATGTGACTTTTGTACGTAGGAGTGATAAAAATGAACTCACTATGTAGTCACAGTGACTACTGCTATAACCACTACTGCACATCTTCCAAAAGTTCTAGTATTTTGTTGTGGACCAAGTTACATCCTATTTCCAGGCAAAGCTACAGGCAGAAGTACTGGGGGGGGGGGGGGGGGTTAAAATGAGATTAAATGAATAAATGAAAATAACGAGGGGCATATAACAAAAGTGTGTGTGTAAAATTACTTCCACAATAAGACCTTAACAGGCAATCAATCTTAATTCTGCAGGAGAGTGGGACCCTTTCCTTAGTCAGCTGGATCTTCCTATTTCAAACTCTTTTCCTCAGCTACTGATTCTGCAATTCAGGACCGAAACAGATGTGAGGCCGGAAGGTTCATGAATGAGTCCCAAGTAGTTTCTTCTCTTAAAGAGGCTGGCAGATGAAACCCCATGTGGATGGGGAGTGCAGTATGATGGCTTCAGACTACCTCTCTCTCCTGTGCCTAGCTCAGTAACTACTTATCTACCCCATCACTGAAAAGGAAAGACCTACTTTTGCTGCAGTCTGCTGTCTTGGTTTCTTCTTTTGAAAAAGCTTGGATATAACCAATGTCTGTTCTACAGAAAGGACACAATCCATCCAACTAACAAAACTGTCCGTAACAAAAGCTAGCTAATTAAAATATCACACATCTAGCTACAAAAAACAATCTAGAGCAAACTGACAACAGACTGTTTTCTTGACACAAGTTATTGGCTATGAAGCCGTAAATACAGTCTAATGTTATGGAGACAGGCAGCCACTCCCACCGTTGGCAAATGTTGCTCCTGAATACTGTTGAACAGTAAAGTACCACATGTTTGTGTGGTCAGATGTTGCCGCAATCATTACTCGAGAAAAGCTATGAAAGTTGCAAGATAAGCAGCTTCTCATTCAGGGAAGAGGAGCTAGTCAGCTGTAGAAGTGAATGTGAGTTCAAGCTGGTAGTTGTTTTGGCATAATAGCTAAAGGCACTTTCAAACAATGCAGACAACAAAGGAGATGTTAAGGGAAGTAGGAAAAATATAAGCTGGCCTCAGGATACTAAAACTGTACTAGTTTCTACTATACCATCTGAGTATGATTTCAGAGCGAGAAAACACTTTGAAGCATCCACATATTTTCTCCCAAAAATATCTTCACCGCTTCATGTGACATGTAAATGCATCTCTCAAATGAACACTTGTACACTTTACGGCCACATGCTCATTTTCATAAAGGGAAAGAAAAATCCTTTTAGGAGTACACGTGGAAACAATCTTAACAATTGTATAGGATTTAAGAAAGGCAAAGCTAGATCAGGTATGACTGACAAGGGCATGACTGGCTGGACCTAAAACAACCATCGGCAGAACAAATACAGGCACTTGTGCTGTTCTGTAGGTGCTTGCAGTGTTCCAACAAATTAGCAGTTTTCACACTTCCAGGTGTACAACAAGAAGAAGACTGTAGGATATAGTTTCATTTTCTCACTCAGTGCACTAATGCAAGGTGCAAACATCATACACCCTATATTCATCAATGTTGTATGTTTTAAATTTAAAAAATAGCCCTTCCACAAACAGTTAAGTATAATCCTTTACAATATAAACAAGTAATACAAGATAATGCAATACAAACTGTTTGGGTTTCACTGAATCCAAAACACAGCAGAGTTTCATTTAGCAACCTTCAAAACACATACAAGTCAAACTTTATTTAAAACTGCTGAAATTACATTAAAAATGTAAGACAGAAAAGAAACTGTGCAGCAAGACTGAAAAGTCAGTTTTAGCGGTTTAGGCTTTTATGTGCAAGTTAGCATGCCTATTCTAAGAGGCAGCAAAAAACTAATTTACAGTTTTATACAGATCAGAACATGTGAAGTATAGGAGGAGTTTTCTATATGCATTCACAGAAGGTAAGCCAAGGAGAAGCGCTGGAGGTATTGTCACACACTTTGGGCTCCAGAAGTCTCTGTAAAAGAACAGAAGAAAACACTGCTGATTAGGGCTGCCACAGCTATATTAACCCTTCAGTGCCTTGAGTGAATTCCAATGTGCACATGAAGTTCTTGTCCTTCCCACACAGATTTCAGTAAAAGGCAGAAAACTCTCACACTCAAGGAACCACACAACCAGACTGCATATTTCCACTGAAGTTAGTAAAACAGCAGCACCTGCAGGTAGGATTACCTCTGCTTGATTTTTCTTAGTGGAAAGGCGATGAAAAAAACAAAAACTGTGTATGAAATGTAAACTACTTCAAATTATACTTTAAAAAATCACAGATGTCTTATAGGTAAGTGTCAAATAAATTCATAACAGTAATTACAAAATTACACAAGACAAAGTAATACAGAACCAACTTCTACTATCAATATAATATAAACTTCTGCAAACGCTGTTAATACATAATATCCCTGCCGTTCATGCAGGATATGTCTTTAGGAGAAATGGTGAATATTTAAGCAGTAAAACTTCCAATACTGATGGCTTTCATCCAGGAAATATCTCATGAAACAAGAATTTCTGATGTAAAGGTTCCGATGTTTTACTTCACACAATGGCTAGCTGCAAAGTTACCACGCTCTGCCAGTGCTTCCTCAAAAGTTGAATCTTTTGCTCTGAAAAATTATTATACAGACAATTCGAAAAAAAAAAACTAATGAAACACACTCAGTTACAGCACCCCTCATCATATAGTTAAAAGAGTACTGTTTACCAATTATTTAACGCAAGTCTCTCTGTAAAGTATTAATTCAGCTACAGCTCCTCCAGATCCAATGGATTCAAACGCATTACCACCCAAGAAAACACTCAGTTTTTAAAGGGATCCCACATCCAAAATTTAAAGGGAACATGCGTCCACACTCTGTCTGATCTTAAACAGGTGTGTTTCAAATGTTTTATAATGAACAGTAATTTAAAGCAAAAGAATCACAAAAAACAGCTGTAATCCAAATTTTGATTTACAAAGGGAGATAAAGTATTAAATTTATAAATAATTTTTGCCTCTAATTGTAATAAAAATTTACCAACATCAATGCCGTTAAACATATGTCCTTTAAAGAGGTACAAAATAAAGAATTGTAGGGAATCAGGATCAACAAGAGGAGCTTCAAGATTCTGGTTCCGAATTTGGGACCGGTGTTCCAAAGTTCTGGACTTAATAGTCTAATTGTACTTCCTATATATAAAAGATTACAATCACAGATGATACAATATACAGACTTTTTTGAACTTGAAGTAGTTTATATTTCATTCACAGTTTTTGTTCTTTTCATGATTTTCACTTAGAGCAATAAGTCTCCCATCAGGCTATGGCAGAAAACAACTAGCATAGGGTACTGCTGAACTGCCAGAGGAAGTCAGCTGTGCAGGCTGCTGTCATTCACATGTGTGAATGTCCACTCCCTAGATCGAAGCCATAGCAGACAACATTAGCACAACTATATGAATCCCCACCCCCCTATGCGTTGCTGCTGCCACTGCCACGACCACAAATGTGCACAATAAAGTGGAACTGCCAAGTCCTACTCCAGAGTGTCAAGGTTTTCTAGGAACCACCACCTAGGATAAACAGACTTTTAATACAAATTGGGTACTTTTAAGTTACAAGGACAGGACTGAGTAAGGAATTTAAAAATCCTCACCCGGTTCCTTCAGCATCTGTGGATCTCCTGCTAATTCTTCACCATGACTTTCTGGACCAGCTAGTATTTCCTCGGCAATGTTGTTGGTCTGGGCTTCTGCCACCATTTTCTTCATTATATCTTCCTGGAAGCGAACATAATCAAAATAGTTCTTACAACTGACAATTCCTTGCCCTTGTACTATTTAAACATAAAAGCTTTGTACACTTCTGAATACACTAATCTTTAAGCAACACACCTCTGAGTATACTGCAAGTTTAAGGGGCAGATCTTCAACTTTCACAAAATCATCTTCGTCTGATTTCTGACTGACATTTCCAGAACCTGTTTCCTGTTGAGAGAATAGCATTTTAAATTAATACAATCTTTAAAATGGTACAGTCTTGACCATGTTAAGCACTTTTAGGTTTCTCTGCTATCAGCTGAAAAGTTAGGCACATATTTATCAATGCAAGTAAAATCAATGGGATCTAAAATTGCTAACTTTGGTTTAGACCAGAGGTTCCAAAACTTATTTGGCCGCTTTTCAGAAAAAAACAGTACTCAGTACCCTCCTGGAAATCTACTTTCAAGAAGTGGACAAAAAGATGCAGTTTGTGGATCTGCACCTGGATTGTTCCAGCCCACCTGGATCGTTCCAGCACCCCCAAGGGGGCGGTATTGCCCACTTTGGGAACTAGCGGTTTAGACTGTGGCTGATTGTAAGGAAGAGACCAGCTCAGCCGCAAAACTGCAATCCTGCAGAACTAAGCAAAGGTTAGAAGGGGAGGTCTGATCCTGTAAGTTGTTACAGGAATGGCTGCTTTTCATCTCACTAGAAGCCGCATGGCTAAACTATCTTAACTAGCAGCTGGACTGGATAGAGGGCGCGCTGACTTTGTTTGTTGTATTTTGACAAGCTGTAGTGTCTTTGCCAACTTTTTTTTTGCTTTTGTTATCCACTCTTGGAGTGACACTGTTTTATTTTGTTTGGTTAATAAACCTTGCCTTGTTTATTGAACTCAAGTGTGGAACCTGAGTCTGTGCACCTGGAGGAGGACCCTAAGCCTCAATCCTACACTGATGTTATTAATGTCCAAGCCACTGCCTCAGTTCCCACCAGAACATCACTGCGGATGACAAAACTTCCATCAACAAAGGGCAACTTCCTCTCCTCTCCTCCCCTTCTGCTGCAGCCTCAGATCTCCCTGCAATGCTACTCAGGGCAGGAGGGTGGAGTGAAAGTCACATTCTGGAGACAGAAATCCTTGTTAGTGGAAACTCTTCATGGGGTTCATTTCCTTACTTCCCAAAGCTAAATTCCTGCTCCCTAGAATGTGAGTAAAATGGTTTTGGGGGAAAGGCTTCCCAGGACTAAAATCTCCAGGCCATATTAATCAAACCGAATTTTTAAACCTTTCTCCAGCCTAAGCACTTTTCAAATCACATTTTACTGTAGAGCTTCGTCAAACTATACATACATATTCATTCACCAATACAGGAGATTCTGTATCAGGGCTTCCAACCACAGAGCTTTCAGGAGATCCTAATGAAGATTTGGTTTCTCCGTGTACGGTTTCTGATGTTTGATTCTTGTTTTCTGCTGATGAAGGGGTTGGTTCTTCTACTGTTAATACTGCACTAGGATTAAGATCTTCAGCAACTCTAACAGGTAAAAGCTGAGTATCTTCCAATACATTAATATACGGAGGCACAACAGCAGGTACATTCTGATCACCTAAAAAACAAAGCAAAACCAAAGCAATATTTTATTGCGCTGACAGAAAGGCAAAGCAGCAGGATTGGGTGCCCTTTGCAGAGTTGTAGAAAGGGCCAGATACGACACACCCAATTCAGCTTTTAAAAGCTATCTTGGCTTCTTAAAGAAATGACCACTGTTCAGGCAACAAGCCTAACTCCTCAAGCCAGCTAAGACTTTAGGCACAGAAAGCATGACAGTGTATTATGTCACTCAGAACAACATCCACAGAATGTATTCTACATGTTGTCAGTACTAAGGGTCCCACTAGAAGCCTGCAACAACACAGAATCTGGTCCTTTGGGAATCATGAGCACCTCCAGGCCGCTCTCCCTTCCCTTTCCCCATCTTCACAGGAGAACAAGAGAAGGTCCTGGATTATCTGCTTTGGTTCCTGAAATCATTCTGCATTATTGTCAATCTAGTTTTTAGTTTAACAGTACACAAACTGTATCCACATGCATTCATTTACAGCTCTTGCACCCTAATCCAGTAACCGCGTAGCCACATTTAACACCCGTATGGGTCCAAGTCAGATCACAATATGTTCTGTGTTATAAATCGTAAGGGAAGGGGTTCAGTTCTATCTTGTCAAGAATATAAGAATTTTTCTTACCTTCCTAGTAACAGCACAGTCCTATGAATTGGTACTCCAGGCTAAACCCATAAAGAACTCTGCACAGGATTGCCCTGTTGTGTGTTTAACAGCTAAGACCCACCCCACACTCCTAGTGGCTGTAGAAGTAGTAAGATGAAGCACATAGCTCAATTATGAATATGGCCACAAAAGTTTTAAGGGATCTCGTCTCCTGTTTCTTTTTTTAAAAAAGAAGAAGCACATTTATTGTACCTTCAACATTTACAGATGCCAACTCAGTATTGCAGACGTTTGGATTCTCCAATTTGTGCTGTGAAACCTAAAAAGACATAATGTTTAAAATGATGGCAAAAGTCCAAGAGATCATATCTGCTTACAACATATTAAGATACAGTTCCAACAAACCAGATAACAATGAAAACCAAACTTCTGCAACAATAACATTGCAATTAATATAATTCGAAATAATTTACACATTAAAAACAACATATCAACTGGGACCATCTCACCAAAAGTTTAAAGGCTTTCAGGAATAGAACTAACTACAGGTGGCCAGTGTTCCCTCTAAGCTGAGTTAGCGTGAGCTAGCTCACAGTTTTTTAGCCTCTGGCTCACACATTTTTGTCTCAGCTCAGGAAGGGAGGGCTCCAGAGCAAACTGATTTATGCAGCAGCCAAATTGCTCGCTCACAACTTTAATGCCCGTAGCTCGCAAAGTAGAATTTTTGCTCACAAGACTCCACAGCTTAGAGGGAACATTGCAGGTGGCTATAGTTTTTTAAACTTTCTAATTGGATCTCCTTATTATTCCGTTTCCTTCTGTCCTTCCCAACAGTTGAGAGTAGTCCTCACCCACTCTGAGTAGATTTCTTAGTCTTGGGATTGTATGTTGTTTAACACAGGCCTATCTTTGTAACATCTCCCCCCTGCCCTTTTGTGGTTTGCACCGTTTAATATAAATGAATCAACTTAAAAGATGCTTCTGATTTAAATGAGTTCTCGCCCATAAAAGCTTACAGCAGTGCAGATTTTGTTGGTCTCTTAGATGCCGCTGAGAAGCATTGGGATATCAGAATAATCATACAACAGGCAAGGAAACCAAACACTCCAATTCAATCCAGACGTTTTTTTAAAAAAGACCAACCTCTATTTATGTTGTATACATCACTGAAATTTACAGTGTATTACCAATATGACCCCCCCCCAGTGTTACCATTCTGTAAATACCTGCTCTTGTTCATTTTCAGCTACAGTTTCATTGCTTGCTTGGAGGGAAGTTTGGACATCTACAGGTCCTTCTTCAAATTCATCTATTTCTTCATCTTCATTTTCATCTTCTCCACTTCCATAATTAGTTAGAGCCTGGGTTTCTGCTTTAGACAAGCCTGAAGTTAAGTGCAATAAGTTTTAAAATGTAACTACAGTACAAAGTGTGTGTGTGTGTGTGTGTGTGATTTGCTATGCCTCTGAACTCTGTGCTTGCACACTCCCTCTCCTTCTGGGAATGCATCACTTTTGCTTTATTACAAATCATGGTTTTCCATTACACCCTAACTGCCAGACTACAGTTTGTGCTCCCTTCAAATCAGGTATGCAGCTCATAAGACCATGATTTGGTGGTTAGGATGTAACAGAAAACTGTACTCCATGTCAAAGCAACCTATCATTAATTGAACTGTGTACAAGGGGAAGGAGGAGAGCAGGGCTTTTAAAAAGCATTGTGGGGGGGGGGGGGGGCAGGGGGGGGAGCAAGCTAGTATTCCAGAAATGCAAGCTCTGGTTCGTGCTAAGTTGTCTAAACCTCCCATTGTTAGAGACTGTATGGTGACAGTCATGGTTCCAAAAATTATTTTCAGATATCTATAAGTGGAAGGCATTGAGGAAGGCTGTGTCCTACAGATGAACCCACCCCTACTTGCCATCCCAAGAATCTATTTAGAACTTATAAGGGAATGGATCCTGCAGCTGGAGTTTCCTGAAAATCACTTTTAAAACAGATCAGTTTACTCCATGACAGGAACTATAGCACTAAAAAGCAACCAAGAAAATTCTAGCTGTGGGCACGGTTCCTTTCTATGTATATAATCTTTGTATTCTAGCATGTCTCAACCTGCATCTTAATGTTCCTTAAACTAGACCAGTATGGTTTTTTAGTTGCAGCAATTAAAAACAGGACAAAATAATTTAAATATGAAGGAAAGTGGTACCGGAAGAGGGAGAGATCTCATGACCTTGTAAAATGATTATCTACTGAACGTTCAATATCATTCTAAAAGCAAAAATATATACAACTATGACACAAATTTAATTGCCTAAAGTTGCAATCAAAGTAATAAAGACTGCTTACTTATGGATACGGGACAATGTTCACTTTCCTCTTCTTCCTGGTCAGACGCATCTGATCCTCTGCTTTTTGGATCTTCTGTGTTATATACTGCAGGTTCATGGATTTGCTTAACAGTTTCAGTTTCATCTTTATCCTAACCATAAACAAAATTTATTTTACTTACAGAGATATATGAAAAAGTATCCCACTTACTTCTTTTTTAGTGATTAACTTACATACTTCTAAATGACAATTAAGAAATTAATTGCCCACTGTCTACACTTAAGAATCCCTAAGTATCAATCAGACTTCATGGAAAGCCTATCAATATAACCATCATTCAAGTTTATGCCACATCTACAGATGCTGACAAGGGTGAAGCAGAAAGCTTTTATGCAAGTATCCAGGAAGAAATTAATGACACACCTCAACAAGATGTGCTGATAACCGTAAGTGACTGGAACACAAAAGTAGAAAACAAAGCAGAATCAAATATTGTTGGAAGGTTTGGGCTAGGAGCACAAAATGAAGCAGGAGCGTGACTCGTGAAAGAAAGAAAACTGACAAGAAGAAAAGTGATTCCTTTAAAATGTGGTGTTGGAGGAGAGTTTTACAGATAATGTGGACCACCAAAAAGGCAAATAAGTGGGATCTAGAGCAAATCAAGTCTAAACTCTCCTCGCCTCCCTCTATTTTCCCCTTCCCTCTGCCACCCCACCAGCCACCGCAGGGACACTCACCTGGAGCTTCCTTCTAGAGCTCATTGTATTTCTTCCCACAACGGGCCTTACTCCTAGTTAAAAATAAATGATAAATTAATAAAATCTTACCTTGTCTTCATCGATATCTTCAGTAGATGAACAAGCTCCTCCCTCTAGTGCTTTTTTTGCCTTTGAAGCATAGAATCGAAAGTTAGTAGTGTTTCTGTATAATGCTAAGCAAGCTATAGATGAGTATCAAATGTACTTTCTACTATGGAATCCAAGAAGATACTCCCTCACACTAGGGGCAGAAAGAATGACCTATTTCCTGCCTCCAGGGACCACAGAAAAAGGAGTACCCAAGCACAGCAGGATGCCATCCTCTTCCTCAAATGAGAATGGTGTCTGCTTTCTTGCCCTGGAATGCTTTGGTGCAACTTGGATACAGTTATTTTCTACAAAGAGCATGATGTTAACGTGCTAACATACAGCGGACAGGGCTTCTAATATACTCTTCACATCTCCCCCCCCCCCCCATATTTCCTGTTTTAAAAGTATCAATCGAAAGAGACAAGGTACAATAGCTCTTCAACATAATTTGCATTCTAATGCAAAACGGCTTACACATTCATACAAGTCATTGCATCAAAAAACAAAATTTGGCTTCTGTTGTTTCTCTAATAGCGATGATTTTGTTTATGTGTTTAATTATTTAGTTATTTATGTATGGTGGGTGTAAGGTATTAAGGTAGAAGTGAGAATTATAGCTTTTTATTAAATGTGGAAAGAAAAATAATGAATGGGGTTTAATTAGGGCTATAGAAAGCTAGTGATATGAATAAAATAGCTAGATAGGATATTATGTTTTTTGCTAAATGGTGAAATAATTAATTTTTAAGATAGAGGGTAGTGACACTGTTATTGTTAGTGATTTAAGCTTAAGTTGAAAAGGGTAGTTTTATGGTTAATCGAGTATCGAAATGATAATAATTAGATAAGAAAATATGGTTTTGAAAGTTGTGAGAATCGGGATTAAGATAGATAGAAATGACTGGAACAGGTAATATAATTTAAAGTTAGGGTGTTGGTAGAATGTTTGTTGTAAGTTGGTCTATAAAGTTGGTGTTCTGTGGGAGTAAAACTAAAATTGAGGAAGGGGACGGAAATGTATATTTGTATGTTTATGTGGATATTACTCCCAAATGGAATTATGAATATATCTGTATGATTATAAGGAAATTTTGACAAATACAGAAGAAAAGACAGATATAGGGAATCTTTGACATATGAAAGATAACAGAATGGATACGTTTTACCCTGTCAAAATATGGAAAGTCATGAAAGCTCCATTTAGAGAAAAAAACCTATGTAGTGAATTTGTTAATAATATTTGATTAATAATTTGTAGTTTAAAATTTAAAAGATGATAGCCAAAAAATATTTATGTAGCCTTGCAACTATTGAGTGAAAACCTTACTCAGAGAGTTTAAAGTCTATAGAGAATTGTTAAAATAATGAGTATAAAAAGCAAGTTAAAACTTATTAAGATAGCTGCTATAGAAATGCGTACTTAAGTGTTGATTTGATTCTTTATCTTCTATATTTAAGAGTTAAGTGTATGTTGGTGTATATAGATAATATCTTTTAGGGTATATCTGTATTTATATTGTCTTGTAGGTTACATGTGATGTATGTTTGACATTTTGAAAACCCAATAAATAGATTAAAAAAATTTTTTTGAGAGTGACTTTATCTAAGATAATAAACTATCTATGTTACTTCATTTAAAATATGACAATACTTACCTCTTTGGCATATGACTGTATCATTCCATCCGCTTCAATCTTTCTTTTACATCTTTGCTTTACTGTTAGGCTATTGTTGTCCAAATCTTGCATGAGTTTGAAGAAGGCTAGTTCATTGAATAAGACTTCAGAAATTTCCACAAGAAGGTCCTCCCCACAATCCTTTAATTTCTTACCAGCAAATTTTGCCAGTGAATCCTGTTACCAAAAAACCCCACCCAAAACACAAAAACAATTTTCATTTATTATTTAACATAACCTGACATATACCACGTGGGATTCTTTGGAGAACATTGCCTTAGATCTTCACAATTGCTCTGTGAGGCAGAGATGAAAGATTACAATGTGGCCCACATATCAAGGCGAACTGGCAATTGATGCAATAACAGTTTAAATAATAAGTTACAAACAAAAAGCATTACAATGTTTTACATCACCATGCTTACTCTGTAATTTCCAAATTACTCAGATAGCAGATACTAGTTGTGCTTTCAAGACTTTGGAGAAGTACTTAAGGTGCAAGAAATTTATCTTAACTTGCAAAGTAAATGAGGTTTTATAAACAGCGCTGACTTGATTAAGTGGCTTTGATTCTGTGAAATCAACAAGCTCACTGGTGTGGTAAAATCAACTATCACCATGGGAAGGGAGGTGAAGCAAATGTAGATTAAACTGACAAGGTAAAATAATCTCACGATGTTTCTACCATATCAAGAATGTGAAGATAGACACAGAAGAATTTATGCCATTTTCCTCCCCAACAGGAATGAAAGCAGCTTACAGCATTGTTCTCCCTCCATTTTATCCTAATCACTACCACCACCCTGTGAAGCAGGCTAGGCTGAGAAAGAATGACTGGCCAAAGGTCACCCACCAAGTTTCTATTGCGGAGTGAGGATTTGAACCTGGGTCTACAGATACTAATCCAACTCTCTTAAAATTACAGCACGCTGGCTCCCACATTCTCCATTTAAGGCCCAGAAAGTGATCACATTCACCTGCAATATGCTACCAAGTTGCTTATGAAAGATCTTCACAAATTCTTTGCTTTCATCATTTTGTTGTGTAAGGGTCAAGACCATGCGCCTTACTGAAGTCAAGAGCTGCGGAGAACATACCTCGTCCATGTGTTCCTAAAAAGAGTTAAAACAGATCACCCTTCACTTATTTTAAAGGAAAAACTCTTGAAAAAGGTCCTTCTTTGATCTGTTTTTAATAACAGCATTTCACATGCAGACTGCAGCAAAATGTGGGAAAAATTAAGGTCTCAGTGCATTGCTTAATCATATAGTACTGTAACAGCATTAATTCATCAGAAACAAGCAGCACCACAGACCCAAGAACATAAAACTGCAATGCCACCCTAAGGAGTTACTAGGGATGGGCACAAACATACAAATTCCGGTGCGTCTGTCAGCTATTAGGCTGAAATGGCTGGCAGCCATTTTACCAGTCCATTTTGCTTCCCCCCGCTTCGAAGCAGGGGGAAGTGAAACCAACTGGTGAAATGGCTTGCAATCATTTAAACCTAACAGTGCTGCTCAGCTGTTAGGTTTAAACAAGGGGGGGACCCGCGATACTCGCGGGCACGGAACGCTCTGGCACTTTCGGGGGGATTTAGGATTTTTGTGCACACGTGTGGACTGCCCCACGAGTCTCCCCCCCCAAGAACAGACCCTTGGAGGCCTGAAGGGGCGGCGCGAGAACCATTGCGCTTGGCTGCCCACCTCCCGCTCCGTGGGACTTGCGAGGACTCCGGCCGGCCCGGGAGGCAGGGAGGGAAGCCGCGCCATTCTCCCGCCGCCCGCCCGCTGCCCTGTGTGACCGGCGGCAGCTCTCCGGCTTCGGGAGGGGAGGGAGGGAAGCCGCGCTGTTGCCCCTCGCTGCTCTCCCCACCCCCACCCCCCCACACGGGCTCTGAGCCGAGGGCCGAGCGGCGAGCCGCTCGCCCCTCGCCGTTCTGCCTCCCCCTGCTCGCCACTCGCCTTCCAAATGGTGGCAGCGGCCTCCATTTCACTTTCACTTTCGGGGGGATTTAAACATCCCCCCAATATTTTTTTTAGTTTTTAGATTTTTGTGCACCCCTGGGGACTGCCCCAAGAGTGCACAAACCTCCCCCGGCCCCCCAGCTGCCCCCGGAGCGCTGATTTAGCGATCCGCACTCCGGGGGCAACCTCGCTATTAGATATATAGATGGCCCAAACAGCCTAACTGAACCAGATAAAAGCCAGGTAAATGTTTGGGGAAGGCGCCTTCCCCGAACATCCGGGCCAAGTTTGTTCCTAATTTTAGCTTGTTAACCTGTTCGTGCCCATCCCTAATTACCATCCTTCACTTCAGTGAACTTAGAAGGGTGTAACTCTTTTTAAAATGGCATTGTTAAGTTCCTAAAAAAATTCTATGCCATCCACACCAGCCACTGGAAAATTTAATATATGTTATGTTATTCAGCGGCTGTGAATACTTCATCTAAAATTTTACCATATACAAACAGAAGTTGCTGAACTAAGTTGCCTTATGCCTTCCTTCATGAACTGGAATTCTTAAATGAGAGCAACAATCTACTAAACATGCCGCCTCAACAGGTTATATAGCTGTACTTCATATCTGTGAGTGCCCAACACAGCATTCAACATACACTCCTGTATTGCAAGAAGCTTCTGCAGTTTAGTAAGTGATAAATGATTATAATGATTGCTGCTAATCAAAGAGCCCCAGAGAAATAGACTTGCGTCTGATCTCCACCATAAAATCTGCATATTACACTCAGAGCAGAAAAGAAGAGTCCATTTGGCTACCCCGTAAATAAGTGGGAAGATTGATTCCTTTTAATAATCTGGCCAGAAACCCTCAAAACCAGTAGTGCATGACAAGGCACAATCAGTCAAAGGCAGCTTGGCAGGGAAGAGGATAATTCATCCCTCCAAATACTGGACTGGCTTCACAGAATCTTTTCCAGTTGGGAAAGGAGGTGTCAAATGTTCAGCTCTTTCAGAGCAATCACACCAAAAACAAGGGGGTGAGGAGGAACAGAGTCGAAGCCCACATAAATGCCAAGAACATCCTTTGCTCCTGCTGGCTTGCGTCAATTTCTCTGAGAGAATAGTCAAGGCAATCCAGTAACCAGGGCAACTTAAGCAGTATTCCTTTTGCATTTTACTTTCTAGTTCTCTATAACGCCTGTAACATTCCCATACTTTTGTGCTTAGTCTGTACAGCAGGGCTGTCGAACTCATTTGTTACAAGGGACGGATCTGACGTACATGTCACTTTATCAGGTGGAGTCATCATGTGTGCCATAAAATGTAACGCCAGATATTGGAGATAAAAGCTTTATAAAGGACACAGGAAAACCCAATTAACAATATTATTTTTTACTCAAAATACAAACATACTTCAAAAGACAATCAATTTTGATATATAGACCTTCTGAGACCTTCCATGAAAAGAAACCGAATGCAAAGTCTTCAGGGCACAGGCAGAAAATTACCCATCTTAATCAGAGCAATCCAGTTTTTACCTCAAACTTCACAAATCCATGGAGAGACAAGAAATTAAGCAACCGGGTCACGTGTTTCCAGTTCTACTTATGCTGTTTCAAATGGGAGGAGGGAGGGGAGGTCCCTGATTTTGTGGAGGGGGAAAAATGCATCCTCTTCTTGCTCAGCACATTTAAGAATGCTGTGCTAAGCAAGAAGAGAATGTATTTTTTTCCTAACTTTTTTTCTTGTCAACTGTGACCCCACTCAAGGGTGGGCTTTTTGCACTGGGGGGAGAGGAGGAATGATCCTCTTTTCCAGGATCAAAGACCAAGCCAGGCAGGCCAAGTGTCCCCGCAGTCTGTTCCTCCTCTCCCTCCAATGCAAAGCCTCCCCACTGGGCTTCTGGGCCTACTCCCCCCCCCCCCAGCCCCATCCTGCCCTTGGTACGCCACTTTTGCTGGGCATGGTCCAGCTCAGGTACAGAAAAGAGCTGCCTCGCCATGTGCTCTGGGAAGGAAGGGAGGCTGGTGTGATTGCAGTTGCAGCAGTCCCCTACTTACCAGGGAGGCTGGTGTTGAAGTAAACCGCTACAGAGAAGGTTGTTCCACCACACACTGAAACCATGATTGGAGAGGCCCGCCTGCTCGCTCCCCCAAGCAGCCTCCTGTTCCCTCCCTCACATCTCATGTTCCCTCCCTTGCATGCTCACAGGCCAGATAAAAGCCCTGTATAATTGACATCTCTGTTGTAGAGGATGTTTCGGATCTTTTATTTTTTTCTCTTGCAGAGATCTCAGACAGTGGATAGCTCTCTCACACATGCAGGTGGCTGTTCACTACATCGGGACACCACACACCTAGCTGAGCTAGAAGGATTCACTAAGGCTCAGAGGAGAAAGAATAGTTTTTGCAGATGGGCCTGCACATGGAAACCCCACTTTCAGTAAATCAGACCACTGGAGGAGATGGCTTAAAATTGTCTTGACTGGTGGCGGGCTACCCAAAGGAGGAGGGGCTTCAAGTCCCCTCTGCACACAGAAACCTTAACCTCCCAGCTGCTCACAACCTGGAAGCCTGGGAGGGGGAAGGCAAAGGAGATGGGGATCAGTGTATCACAGCACTGACCAAGCCAAGTTCAGTTTTGAGCTCAATACCACAATGGGCTGACATATTAACCATGAATGTATATACCCACAGGTTCTAAAAGGAGCTCAATGCAAGTATTTTACTTGTAATTAAGAGAAAACCAGATCCACAATATTTGTGCACACCATCAAAAACTGCCCTACCACATTACATCCCTTCTATTAAGGCAGCACAGTGGCCAGGTAAAAATTTGTGCTGCTTGGAAGGAAGTGGTTAAAAGTGGATAAACGTAACGGCCTCTTGAGCCAGAGAAACCGAGCTACAGTTCACTTGTAAAGTGGCTTGCTTATTCTTCCAAGCGAAATTTAAATTACCTTCAGAAAAGGGATCACCTCTTTCATGATAGCTTTAATTTGCCGGTCAAGCTGCTGAGTATCAATTCGTGGACAAGGAACAGCAGATACTTCGCTAGGTTGTTGAGCACACTGGCCTTCAATTGTATCTGAACCTTTAAAAAGAAAAAAAAGAGTTACCCAATTTCAGAATAGGTAGCAAATGCTACCTATCGGATTGTGTAAAGGCTTTCACTTATTTTTAGCAAATATTTAAGGACTTAAACATCCAAGAGTTGTAGCTCATCATCATGCAGACAAGAAGAGTACATTTCTCCAGCACAAGAACATTCTTCCACCAAAGCACAAGGCTTTTCCTCTGTCAGAACAGCCTCTTGTACTGCCAGACCCTTCTTTCCTCAGAGGAACGCACACCTGGCATCTCAGTAGGATATAACCTAACGTGTATGATCACCATCTTTGCTGCTGGGTCTGTCCATAAAAGAAGGTGAGTGATTTTTAGTCATTCTCTCCTCTCACAGAAGATCCTCACTTTGCTCCCATATGCATACACATGCTTGATCAGAGAACAGTGTTAAGGCACCTTATAGTTTCCATTCCTGAAGCCAAATAAGGGCTGGTCTACTCATGCAGCAAAAACATGGTAAAAATGGACTAACAACTGCATCCCCCCCCCCCCCAATCTTCCTTGAAGGGACTTAAGGGGGTGGTGTACATGGTTCTCCTATGCAAAGTGTGTTCCATATGCAGTCCTTTGCTTAGAAACAGGTCTGAATCTAATTGGAACCAGAGCAAGGCTTATGACATTTAAATAGTGGCTATGTCTACATTATAATTCTGACCAAGGGAGCCTCATATACCAAATACTTTTAGAGTCTAACATGTCAAACTGGTTTACATATATTGAGGGGAAAATTAAGGCCATTGGTATATTTTTGGATTTGCTGACTATGCTCCCATTAAAGGGTGCATTTCAGCTGATCAAACAGAGAATGCTGAATGTTGAGTGTTAGAAGTCACATAGCCTCGCCAACAAAACCTGCTCTTCTTTGTGCTTTGAGACACCTCTCACTGTAGGTAGGATGGCTCTATGTTTATCCTCCCTACAAGTGCCACAACTACATAGAACTTTCTCTTTAGCCAGATGCAACGCCATGCCATCCTAGATGGCAGAGTTAATAAAACAGCAGATGCGGCTAGACATTGCCCCTGTAATTCTAAATGCATTGAGACGATCTTACATGTTTTGTTGTACTGTCACTTTAATGTAAACATAGACTCTAAATATATAAACTCTGTATTGGCCACCATGATGGGTTTTTCAGATTCCCACAAAGTTTACAAACTTTTGCATGATTCCTCTGTTGAAGTAACTGAGAAGGTGGCTAAGCTCCTTCAATCCACCATGCTGCTGCGCCAAGAAAAAGTACAGTTGTAACATATGATTTTATTTATTGTATTTGTAATAACAGTGTCTCTCTCCTTGTTTATTTTTAGAATGATTTTGATTTACTGATATATGCCAATAAAGGCTGACATGACTTGACATGGTTCTCCCCTCCAATTTTTACCTCACAACACAAAACCCTGGGAAAAGGCACACAGAAATATTTGTGTGTGTGTGTGTCTGTATGTGCACTTACCCCCCCCACACCCGTCTTAATTTGTTTTAACTGAAAAACTGGAAATTTTGGAGAACACTGAAAATGGCTATGAAATATCCTCTCTTGTGTGAAATGAAATGCTTTTTAAGACAAGATTTTACTCAATTGGAATGTGTAAGATACTTTTTTTTTTAACTCAATTGGAATGTGTAAGATACTTTTTTTTATGTGTGACAATCCAAAACATTAGATAACGTGAAATTGTGTATATATACTTGAAAAACTGTTGTATATATATTGTTAAAAATGTGAATAATTTTGTCCACAATTATATTATTGAAGTTTTCTCTTTAGTATTGGGTATTTGTGCAATTCTGATTGTTGGAAACGAAGGCATTTATATTTTTAAATTTTATATGCAGACTAAATAAATACATTTTATGTTGTTAAAGCAGTAAAATACATCTAAGTTTGATAAATACTGCACAGATTTCACTTTTTAACATTGTGCATTTACCATTGCACAGTGTCCGCAGAGGGGAGGTATTCGGGTAATAATTATCCTATGTAAAACTTTCTGCAATAAGAAATTAGTACATCAGAAATAAAGTTCCATATGCTGTGCTAGTGCTACAGCAATTATTACTGTAACAGCAATTATTACTGTAAGAGAACTTTAAAAACTGTAAACCCCCCACTGATAGCCAAAGTGTTACACTCCATTTTACCACCAGAGCACTCTGCCATTTAAGCCTGGACAATGTTCTAGATGGAAGAATGCTTAACAAGGCCACATGTGTTACTGTGAGGTCCTCGGAAAGAGGATGGGACATAATTGTGCCTGATGAATGTATACATATAACCATACCTTCCAGTTTAGAAGCAGAAGCCACCTGAGGATTACTACTACAACCATCTTCAGAGTCAAGATTACTTTCAGCTGCCATTTTTACTCGCTCATATTCTCTCATCCGAGCCAATGCCTGACCTAAATGAATCACAGTGTTGCCTATATTTAGGCAACAAAACCTTTTAAAATATGTTTTATGTTCTGAAGACAAACATTAGCACACAACACCTAAATATAAAAAATGCAAGAACAAAGAGTACAATTATGTTTTGGTATACACCAGTGCAGAATAGTTTGACATTAAAGTAGTTCAGACCCCCAATCAAAACAAAACAATCAAGTTGCTGCTGTACATAATTCAACCGTTTTTATGCTTACCGAGATCATCGGTAGCAAAGGGTTCAAAATTTGAAGATGCAGACATAATACTGCCATTGTCTGCATCATTCTGTTCACATTCTCTACAGGCTCCTGGGTCAAAGTTCTTCTCAAATGTCTCCTTTAAAACAAATAATTGGCCAAATATCAGTTCTCTCTTAAAACGACACAAGTTTTAAAAAATGTACTACACAGGATCATGATTAGGAACAAAGATCATCGTAAGAGTATCTGCAGCTAAAGTTCCTGTCAAGAAAGTAGGCCTCTTCCACACTCTCTTGTTCAAAACTGAAACAGTGGTTCAGGCTGAGGCCTAAAGAACATGGAAATCTTCTATTCCCTGCAAACCAAAGTCAAGCTGACTTGCTCACAGGGAAAGATAAGGAGGATGGGAGGGATTCACAGGTGCCGAGTACAAGAGCTGCCCTAATGGTTTCAAGGCTGCCCAAGTGTCCCTACATGTTCCATCTTGTTAATGGAAATATTTGTGAGTGCTTGTTAACTGGATCTAATACAGCTGCAACAGCATTAGAAACAGTCAATCCTACTTGATTGGTTGCATCACCTGATCAGTAGTACCAATGGTTATTTCAGTTATATCATTGGGCCTATATCTAATTGGCTAGCCAGAATCATGCCAGCACAGGCTGCAACTTGAGGCATAAAGGAAAGATTCTTCATTCAAGTTTTTGTCCTTTGCTTGGAATACCACTATCTTTGGGACACTTTTGACCTGGGGTGGGCCAGCATGGCCAGGCACCTGTTGTTTTGGACTCTGGAACTATCTTGGTCTCAATCCTGTTAAGGCAACCTTTGGATTAGAGAACCATTGTTCGTAAAAAGTATTTAGGTCAGTTATTTAGCATTGCTATTTTATTGTCATGGCTTTTATTCTTTTAATAAATCACTTTAACTATATTGTTACGTTCTTGAATACTGGGGCTTCAATCTCAATCCAGTACTTTGGCACAGATAGCCTACTGCTACCAAAGTAACTTGTTTCTGGAATTCACTTTGGAAGTGCACAACCTTGCAGGGTTGATTTCTTGTTCCGACCGAGGAGAGCTAGAGGTCCCTTGGTCTCTGGCTGGCTGGGTAATTCAAGGGGCTGGTGGCAGCAATACCCTGGAGTGTGTGGATTCACATTTCAGCCTTTTGTCTGTTTCTTCTGCCCAACCAGATACACTCCTTAACTCGAGCTCCCGCTTGCGGAGTTTGTGACAGTTCTTTCTTCAGTAGTTTCCTCTTGCATTCATAAACATGATCTAACCATAATACTTCAAAAGTTTGGAGTTTCATACTTTTGAACTGATCTTGTTTCTTAAGAGTAACACCAATATAAAATAAAAGCAAACACTTGTTCGAGACTAAAGCCCTTTTCTTAGAATACATGCAGGGCTCTTTTTGTAGAAAAAGCCCAGCAGGAACTCATTAGCATAATAGGCCACACCAAACACCAGAAACTCATTAGCATATTGGGCCACACCCCTGACAGCACAGCTCATTAGCATATTAGGCCACACCCCCATGTTACCAGAAGTGTGGTCATCCAGCCACACCCACCTTTTGCTTGTTATTCTGTTTACCTTGTTTGTTGTCAAAACCCAGGGCTTTTTTTGTAGCAGGAACTCCTTTGCATGTTAGGGCACACCCCTAATGTAGCCAATCCTAATGAGTTTCTGCTGTTGGGTGTGGCCTATTATGCTAATGAGTTCCTGCTGGGCGTGGCCAACTCGGGAGCCAGCCGGAACTCCATTCCTGTGCGTTCCTGCCCCAAAATAGCCCTGGATACATGGATTGTTAAGTAACTCTACAGAGTATTTTAAGGGAGGGACCTCAGAGAGTATTTTAAAGGAGAGGCCTCTGAGACCCAGTTTGGTGTAGGGGTTAGGAGTGCGGACTCTGATCTGAGAGAACCAGGTTTGATTCCCCACTCCTTTGCATGCAGCTGGCTGGATGACCTTGGGAAACCCACAGTTCTCACAGAGCTGTTCTCTCAAAAGTGGTTCTCAAAGAGCTCACTCAGCCCCACCTACCTCACAGGGGGCCTGTTGTGGGGAGAGGAAGGGAAGGAGATTGTAAGCTGCTCTGAGACTCCAAGTAAAGGGCGGGGTATAAATCCAATCTCTATCTAAGCTACATGAGATGGGGACTGGTAACTACCAAAGCTCAGCTTCCTCCAAACCTTAGGTAAATAACACAATAGAGAGAACCAGACCTATGATTAATGGAAAAGTTGACAGGAACTACAAGGAAACGAGGAAAGAGCCTGGGGAATGAGGATTCCCATGCACAGAACCATCAAAAAATATTTTACAACTCCTCTACCATTCTCTTTTGAAGACATTCGTCTACAGCAAGTTTTACCACATTTCATCCATGTCTGATGGCACAAACCTGCACAGCTTTTGGGCCCTACCAAATATGGGTATCAAATTTCAGCATCAAACCAGAAAACCCTGTAAATAGGTATATTTCACATTAAAATATTCCAAACACTTGAAAAAAACTTACATCATCAGTAGTAGCAAGGCTTTCGCTGGGAGTAAGTTCTGAATTGGATCCTAACCATGCCGTTGAGTTCAGAGGTTTTGGACATTCTGCTTTTATGTTGTCTTCAGATGTATTCCTGGCTACGATATCCTAATAAAGGAACAGTTCTGTTAACACTATTTTAAAGTCTTAGAATACACACAGATGTGCAAACATGAAGTTTTTAACATACCTGTAATGCATACAGTGCTCGTTGCCTCAAATAGTCTGAATTTAGCATCTGAAGTTCATGAAAAAGCTCAATTAGAAAATGAGGGCGAGATTCGTTTTGAGATATCAATGTAGCTACCTCAGAATAAATGGTGTCTCTCAAAGCTTCAAACATAGAAAGATCACTGCCTGTTTCTGTAGAAAGATGAAGGAATCAGTAAGTATAATTGCTGTTCTCTGTTGTCCTTATTGTAACATGCAAACACTGAGGGGCTGTTTCTTATGAGAAAGAGGCATCCAAGTAACCTTAAAGTGAGCAATGGCAATTCCATATGCCTGCACATGACAGCTGAGATTCTAGCCATCATATATATTTTGCACAGAGATTCAATACAATGATAAATTAGGTTCTGCAAGTTATGCCTTATACATCACACAAATATATCAGATAAACTCTATACAAAAGGCCCTGATAGAAAGCAACACCTTATGCCAAAAACAGCAGCAAATACACCAAAGCACCACTAACGTAATACTGTAGTCCTGAACAACTTGCAGCAACATGTATTTGGCATGAAGCAATGCCTGTGCAATATTACAATTTGGTAACTATTAGCTGAGAATCAGCACACTGCGTCCTAAACATCTGTGTCTCATCTTCAAACACACCCTACTTAAATATTTATTGGGAGCAGCAGATTTTCATATTAGAGAAGCCAGTTTGGTGCAGTAGTTAAGTGTGCGGACTCTAATCTGGGAGATCCGGGTTTGATTCCCCACTCCTCCACTTGCACCTGCTGATGTGACCTTGGGTCAGTCACAAGCTCTGGCACAGCTGTCCTTGAAAAAGAGCAGTTTGTGTCAGAGTTCTCTCAGTCCCACCCACCTCACAGGGTGTCTGTTGTGGGGAGGGGAAGGCAAAGGAGTTTGTAAGCCACTCTGAGACTCCAAGTGAAGGGCAGGGTATAAATCCAATCTCTTCTTCTTCTTCTTTTAGGTCTTTCCTATCCGCCAATAAAAACTCTATTATACACTGATCTCAAACAGTGAATCATTGTTGTGAATTACGTATCACCCAATTAAATATTTTTTGCAACTGCTAGAGTTCTTTTTGGACCCCTGTCAGCACGTAAAAAAGCAACTAGGTCATCACAATATATGTCAGAATGAGATTGCCAACATAGTGAAATAGTACACCTCCTGAGATTAACATACAAAGGACATTCCAGAACGATATGTGCTATCTCATGTCGGGCTTACCTAAGGAAAAGGGCAGATTCATTCTGAATAAGGTAAACGCATGAATCTACCCCTAATAACTGCCAAGAAGTGAGCATTTAGTCTGGCCAGAATGAACGCCCTTAACAGGCTCTGGGAAGACAACAGATAGGTGTAGGAGGGAAGAGATTTAGGAGGTGGAATACCAAAAAACTGGGATGAACAGCTGCAGCGTGCTCTAATGGCAAAGCTTTGGTGGACTGATTTTACACGATTTCTCACCAAAGCAAATGCGAGCCGAGAGTTTCTCAGAAACAGTTTTAAACCACTTCATTAAGTGTAACTGCCCCACTAGTATGTCAAGACACAAATAAAGAGCCACGTGGCACCTTAAAGACAGTGGCTAGAATGCAAAGAATGGGCTCACTAAGCTAGCTGCATCTTGGTTTGGATCCCAGTCTAACAAATGTATCTGTTTCACTGCCTATTTAATGCACCTGATGAAGTAGGCTCTTGCCTGTGAAAATTTCACAACACAGAGCATTTTTTAGTCTTTAAGGTGCTATGTTCTTGTTTGCTCCTGAAGACACCCAAGCACATTAAAACCCAGCTTTAGCAAGGTATAGTAAATAATTATAGTCTAAATCTTTGTCCTTTGCTTTTCAAGCTACAGGTGGGATTCAATATCCCTGCTCAGTTTTGCTTGACCTGCATGATATGTTTCCACTCCACCAAGAAAAAATGGGCCATGCTTTCTGAGAATTCTGGATGGCAACTGTACAATTCCTCCATAACTGTACAATTCCTGCACAACCTTCAAGTCAGAAGGATGAAAGATTAAGATAGTAATTTGCATTAGGCACAGCAACACACCTGCATTCTCCAAGTCCCAAGGACAGGCCACAGCTGTAATGGCTGACAGCTCAAGCAGCAGGCTGCCCAAAATATTTACAACTACTGCATTCTTGTCTACCCTGAGATAAAAACTGCTAGGCTTAAGCATCAGAGATTTCAACTAACTACCAACTGCTTAGTTTCTAAAACAGAAATTAGGGCTCACACCTGCCATAAGTCCTGGTTTATACAAGCCAGAGAATTAGGTGGTAGAATGGAATACACCACTTTGACTTGCAGGTGCTGGATGCCAGTTCCAAAAGTTCCTTCACATGATCAAAAAAATCCTGAAAACTAGTACAATAGGGAGAAACCTGAAAACGTGACAGTAGTACAGTAGGAAGAAAACTTCTCCCCCTTCTTTCCCTTGTTTTGTTGGTCTTCTGGTGCAAGGAGTTTTAAACATACAGAAGCATTTCAGAACAATCTTCCATCTGCAGTCTGAAGTGGTGCAGTTCATCTTTCCACTTCAACATTCTACAGTTTTCTTCCCACTTCATTCTCCTGCTTTTGTGTAAATCAGGCTTAAATTCACATGCTCCCATATTGAAGACTTTAATCCCAGATGTGCAGGGCTGATTGTGACTAATTAGGTACTTAATTATCTACTTGCTTTCTTAATAACAATAATTTTTGACAGACTCAGTGCACTTTACTTAAGCGTACTATTTGTTAATTTAATCAGCAAGATCTGAGAAATGACACTGTTCAGAAGAAGAGATAAAAATTAAGATAAGTTTAGAAGCTAAGCAGTTAATGCGTTACCTGGTGCTTCTATGCATGCATTTCTGTTAGACTGCTGCAGTATTCTCCTAGCATGTGCTGCAGGAAAGGGGAGGTGGGAAGGACAGACAGTGATAAACACAAAAATGTGTATCAGAAATAAAGGCAAGGCCTAATGAAATAATGGGAGAAAGTCCACTTAGTAATATTAATTTTTCCCTCCAAAGAGCCAAGGACACTTAGAGGGGAAAAAAATCTCATATTATCTGGCAAAATCCCAGAATAAAAATTAAAGATTCCAAAAGGGATTTTTTAAAGTATGGATTTTAAAAAGTATGGCCTGATAGCCTGTTTCCTGATACATAATCCTTTCAAGATCAGAATTTATTATACTTAATTTGTTTGCAAATAAAATCCAAGTGAAAACACAACATTTAATAAGTATAAAATTGTATCAAGTCTCAGGACTAACCTGATCTCCCACAATTTCAAAGGAACCCAAACAGGGAATGCGAAAAAACCCACAAGCACACACACCACACTGGTAAAAAGGGACACTATCAGTTAAGTATTTTTTAGTAATACTACCTAGTCTTAGTTTCTAAATGGAAGAAGTAGGGCTCAGGCCTGCCTACAAGGCATGATTTAAAATGGAACAATATGGTTGTCTCATTTCGGTGCTCTGTCCTTTCAGGGTAACATTGTGGGACACACAAAAAGTTTATAGAGAAAACTGGAACTGCTTGCAACAATTTCTTCCTTCAAAATACATGCCTGAAGGTGTCCCTTCAAAAGTGAAAAAGTGCAATGCCGATCAGTACAGTACATGCAGGTGCAATCTCAGGAAACGATTGATTGTTTTATACTTAAAAGAATCCTTTACTAAAAAAATAAACCCATGGTTCAATGAAATACATTAACATTTTAACATGACAACATAAACATGACAATGTTTAAGATCAAGGTGTCAGTTTAATGCACGGTTACCTGTATCTAGTTGTCATTTCATTTATAGACCCTTAAATGTATTTGTGGCTGAAGCCAAAAATTCCCTGTGTGTTCTAAGAACAGTGTTTTTCCATCTATGCATATTTACACAGAGGGTTTATATTGCAATAACAGCAAACAACTATGTAATTATGAAAAAAATTCCAACTCTCCTTGAATTTCCACTTAGTCAGAGAACCAATGTTTTTAAAGGAAAACTCTGCTATATGTTTTTAAAAGAGTACCTGAGGACATTTCTGATGATCTACTGTATTTAATTATTTTTTCTAGTTGCTCCCGATTCTTTTTACTGAATACTTTTGCATGGACAACTTCTTCCTTCCGAGCGGAGTGTCTGTTCCAATTGCTCTTGTAGGGTTCACATGTACTAGAAACACTGGCACTTTCATAACCTTAAATGAAAAGAGACTTGTTTTTTTCAAACTTGCCCTGAAACCTCATTGAAAAGATGTTCTAACATTCTAATCATCATAAAATTCCAAACACAGGCAAATCATTAATACAGTTTAAAGGCCACAGTTAACTTCATATAACCTCTCCCCACGAGAGCTGGGGGAAGAGGACTGACAGGTAGGGAATGGATCTGAACTAGCAGCTGGGACAGGTAGGAGCTGTGGCAGGAGGAATCTGGGGAGGAGGAATCAAGGGACTTGTGAGAGAGACTGGGGAAAGGAAACTTGCAGGCTGCTATTTCTCAGGGCAACCTGATACTGGGTGAGGGGCAAGCCCGGCTAAGGTGCCCATAAGCTAGTCACCAGAACGTCTACAGCCCACTTCTAAGGAAACAAACGGCTGCAGGTATGGGCAAAACAGAAAATGCCAATTTGTGTGTTTACACACTGTGCACCTACCTTTAGTTTTAGGCCTGTTTTTAAAGTGGGAAGTATTCCTTCTCTTAGTCTTTGACTTAGGCGTTTTGTCTTTGGAAGCCAGACTGGCCTGTGCAGATGCTTTCCTAGGCTTGAATGTTTTTGTCACTGTGGTAGGATCCACTGGATCTGGCATGCTACTAAAGCTCTCAAGAGATTCTTCGTCAAATTCTCTTCTCCTGCTGGTGTCAGGTTGACTTTTATGATTACCATTAATGGAATTTTGTACTGGCACTGCAAACCCAGTCTTGAGGAACAACTGGCTCTCCTTTTCTCCATCCTGATGGTCATTTACCCAAGTCAGTGTACTGTTCTCCACTTCCTCTTCAGGCTGCTTCACACCTCTTAACAGAAAAGGAAGATTTATTCATTTACAAATACATACTCACCCCCACCGAGGCCCGCTTAAAAGGTGGTGTACAACAAAAACAATAAACCCGAACCTTTTAAGAACCCAGAGCATAAAAATAGCATAAAACAAGCATCAAGCAGCCTAAAATAATATCAATAACACCATCTTCAGGCTAGGGGCAGAAAATGGAACTGCTAAAAGAGACTAAAACCCTTTGATTAAAGCTTGGGTAAAAACAAATGTTTTAGCCTGGCACCTACAACAAAGTACGACAGGCACCATGTGAGCCTCATAGGGAAGGGTATTCCAAGATAAGGTGCCACCACTGTTAAAAAAAAACCCTGCCTTTGGTTACCTCTGCAGGCTAGGGAATAGAGAGCTGGGCTTCAGAGGAAAATTTTAATTGGCAGACTGGACAATACAAGTAGAGAGCATCTGTCATTTTAGAGTATGTTCAAAATCATGGGGTGGAAAACTGGACTCTCTCTAAGAAAGAATGTATTACCAAACAACTAGAGGCAGGGGCATTCATAAATGGGAGAAAACTGTGGGATGGCATCCTCCCTCTCCTCTTATGCACTAACTCCACCTCCCTGATTTACAGCCATTCAGGATTTTGTCTGATCAATGTTAACTATGGTTAAAATTGGGGGGGGGGGGGGAACACTCATGCTATTCACAAAAGTCATCTGTACATGAGGGGATCATTTAGGGATACAATGAGGAGGAGGCAAGGAAGACCTGTTCCAGAGATGGAAATGCCTTCCATTAGTGGAGATTTATGGCAGGATCCAAGTCCCGAGTTCCAAAAATTAGGCTCGGAGTACCCATCTCAGGTTTGTGTTAATGATCGTTAACATTGATCAGACATAAAACAGAAGCACAGTACACCTGAACCATTTGTTGAGCATCAAACAGAGCTCTGAACATTTTTCAGGGTAGTGGTTCAGAATAAGGGTGGAACTAAAAGAACAAAGTTAAATTCACTGGTCCATAGCAGACTAAACTGAGAGCTAGTACCTGGGAGAGCTTTCACATATTTTCTATACATCTTGGCTTCTGTTCTCTGTTAAAGACCATAAAGCAGGAGAAAGATCTGTTGCATCAAGAGTTATGGACGTAATCCATTTGAAGGGCAATCCTAAAGAGTTACATCCTTCTAAACCCATTCAGGGCTCACAAGGGTGCAACTCCCTTCAGGATTGCATTGTAACTTCAATGTGCAACTTAAAACCCCCCCAACATATTTCATACAGAATGTTCTAATTATTGCCAGTCTCCCAGCTGCAACTTCTTGCACCACATTACACCATTCTAGGTAGCCCCACACCCCTCAGTAGTAGCCTTTCAGGGGATGTGCAACTGTACAATGCTTTCGTAGTTACTGAATCCTACTTCACTTTACAAATTAGCACCAAAGTGAGAACTGTATTCCTATTTTCCCCATATACACCAGAAATGAAGCTAGGTGCACTAAGTCTGGAAATAAAGCAGAACTTAGAGGCATAGCTAGATCCAAGCCAAGCCATTTAATCATTTATATGGGTGAAAGTGGCTTATGTAGTACCAACGAACCAGTAGGGCAAAAGTCTTACATTACGACACAAAGGCCTCTTTCAGTATGAAACATAGTATATCACAGAGAACAGTACATAAAAATGCAAGTATGGCATGATCTCTAATTCTATTCACCAATCTTGTGCATCTAATGTGGATTCTAATGGAATGTTGCTCACAGACAAAGGCTCAGTTGAAGCTCCAGTACCTTGGCTTTTCTGCTCCAGCAGTGGAACTACTTTCAAAGGGCTTTGGAAACGCCATATATTCCATTTTCCCAGTAGTGCTATGTTCTAGGGGTGGTTGCTGGTGCTGTTGTTCACTGGTTTGAGCAGCATAGTTGTGTGGTAAGTCACCCAAACCAGATGGAAACATGGAACCAAAGTTGATACCTGTGGTAAAAACAAGAAGTAGAACATATGGGATTACTCCACCTTATCCTCATAGCCACCTAGGAGATAGGTACAGCTGTGACTTAGAGGAATATTTGTTAGGGCCACCCAGTGAGCTTCATGGCAGGATGAGAGGGGCACACCACGCGCTGCTTTTGGCTGTGGTCTCAATAATGTGAGATGAACAGATTTTAAAGGTGAGCAAAGTAACTGACTATATACATTGCCTTGTGCAGAAGCTGTAGTGACTCAAACTCTCTTTTAATTGAAACATTTTACTGGTTTCAGGCACTACCGAAGCCCCCAAGTCACTGTATTCATTAAACAAAACACTCTATCACAGCATGCACCAACTTAATCCTTTTACAGGCAGCTCTAAGAGTTAGGAAAATTGTCCTAGCCTCTGTTTAAAATCAGGGTACTGCAGAGGTGGTCCAGCAAATTATAGCTGGATTATGTTCAATCTTAGGATATTAAATGGCATAATATATTTTATTTTAGCCATTTTAACCCACCTTTCTCCCAACACAGAAACAAGTTAGGTAAAATATATTACTTGTGACTACCACCTACAGCAAAGGATTGACATATTTATTCCCATAAATAAGTTTTTGATCATTCAAATGAGTTTAATTTATTAGATGCTGATCTTAAGTCTGACTGGGGCGCGGTTCAAAGGAAACCACAAACCATGATTTGCCATTATACGTAACCCCCCCCCCCCCAGCTCATTCTTGTATGACGCTCTCCTCTCCCAGCTCTCTTTCCTCTATCTAGTCCCAGGCTTCCAACTCTTAGTTCACTGTCACATGCAGACTGGCACACTATGGGCTGTGCTTCCCCTGCACAGCAGGATCCCAAACTGGGAATAATCTGTCTGGAATCCTGTTCTGGGAGTCAAGTGCACGTCACAATTCACCAGCTTATATATGAAAAAGACATTCAGCATTGCCAAAACCAGCTTACTGCCTATTAGGGTAGCAGGAATACATGAGCCATGTCTGAGCGAAGTATCAACCGTTTGAAAGAAAAGGAAATTACACATACATACAATATATAAAGAAGTATCAGGGGCTGCCAGCATTTATACAGTTGATATAAGTGTTCTAATTTTTTTATTAACCCTATTTAACTTTTTAATTGAAGTCCATGGAGGGTAGGCACCATGTAGGAACAGGCATTCATTCTTTCTTCCTATTCTGAGGATGTGTTATGTCTAGCCTTCAAAATTAAATTATGGTGTAAACTAAGATTTTTATTTACTGTATTCTTTTTTGCCCATTTTATAAAGAATTAAGCTAGAACTACAACACAAACTTTGCCTTGAATAAATGTTAAATTTATTCTATAGATCAATACTAAAAAGCAGAAAGTAACACAAGACCTACGTAATAGTTATAATGAAATAAACTGGAAAAGGGCCAGAGATGGGTTTTCTTTCAGAGAAATAAAATGTGAAAAATGCTGCTTGCAATGGTTTATCTGGGACGTGAAAAGCAAAACTCAGATTTATTTACTTATTAAAACATTTATATTCTGCCTTTCCTCTTGGTTTAAGGTGGAAGAGGTTTGCAACAAATTAGTTTGTATTTCTAGTGAATTCCAGCACACTTCACAGCTCCTCAGAGGCCTACCTGGTGGGAAAGGAGAAAAATTTGTGAACCCAGGCATGTTAAAAAGATTCATTGTTTGGGAAGGAAAGCTGAAGGGACAAAACACAGTTGGTGAGGGAGGCGGTGGTGCCCTGCTGCTTTTCTCTTTCTTTGGTGTTCTTTCCTGCTTCTGCTGCTGGTCTTGCTGGCGCATTAGATCATTTAACATTTGCTTCAACCTGTGAAGATAACAGCAATTTTTAAGCAGAATTACATAACATTACATAAAAGGCATGGTTTCATTTCAATAAATAACCAACAAATACATACATGCATCTTCCAGGGGCACCTCTGTACAGTCTCTCTCTGTCAGAAAAGGGAATTCAGCTACATTCCTTAGGGGCTGTGGCTCACTGATAGAGCATCTGCTTGGCATGCAGAAGGTCCCAGGTTCAATCCCCGGCATCTCCAGTTAAAAGCATCAGGTAGGAGGTGATGTGAAAGACCTCAGACTGAACTCTGGAGAGCTGCTGCTGGTCTGAGTAGACAATACTGACTTTGATGGACCAAGGGTCTGATTCAGTACAAGGCAGCTTCATGCGTTCATGTGTGTGACAAATGCAACAATTTTTTCTATCTTGAGGACAGCCAGCCAAGTGAAGGTCTCTTTCTTTTTGCTATTGTTTCTCTGGCCAAGATACACGCTGGCACTTCTCTCTCTAAGAACAGAGCAAACTGTCACAGACCTGACTCTTAATGCTATAGACGCTTGACTTTTTACCATTTCAGCAATGTTCTTTCTGTTCCATCCTTGAGAAAGATAACTATGAATTAACAGGTGCATACACAGAATTTAGGAAGAGATCAGATTTAAAACTATTATTTCTGTAGGAACTTCATTCTAAGCTGAGGCATTTACACCATGCCTTCAGAGGGAACAAATTAAATTATAGAGGCACGTGAGTGTCACATAACTGGATCTATATAAAGTAACTACACCCAAAACACCCCTGAATGTCTCAGATGTGGGTTCCATGAGACTATCTAATTTTTCTGAAAGCACACTGACGAGAAGCTTAGAAAGTGTATTTAATCTTCTAAATTTAAGAGTCGGATAAGGCATGATATGTATGCTTTTCAGTTTCTAATTTCATTAATATATGCAAGGGTTTTTTTATATCATTGTGATTCTTTTGTGTTTATTTCAAGTCATTAGATTGGTTTTAAATAAAAATCTTTAAAAGGTAACATGAGTGAGCTCTGGATGGGGCACATGGTTTTCACAACACCTGGAATAAATAAAATTCTGATCTTTTCAGTCAGGGCTGATAGCCTCTAGAGATTAGTTATAGTCTTAGTCTTAGTATATATCTTAGTCTCCCTGTGTCTGTTTTAACAGGAATGTTTCCATCATGGATGGAGCAATACTCTGCATCCAAACAACCTGTTGTTTTTTCCCAGTACAGAATAAAGACAAAACTTCATTTCTGCTCAGCTGAAGAGGCTGGAATATTTCTTCAGAGACAATGAATACCCAGATACCTCTGTGCAAGATATGACATCCAAACTAATCCAGATTCCTGAATAAAGAATACAATTCTAGTTCCAAAAGAGATAGGCTAAAAATCATTTTCTGGAAATTCCCTGCAACAAGGAGACCTTTCCATATTTCTAAGCCTCTTACCAAACAGGTGTGACTGACTAGCAAACACACAGGAACTACTTCAAAACTGTTGAAGAGCATCAGACATATTTCCTGCCACCTCTGGTTCCAGATAGAACACCCCTGAATGCACACATGGCATTCACAAACAGTAGAGCAACTGCTTAAGGGCCTAATCTGCATTTTTTTTAAAAAAAGGCAATTAATATAAGCCCTAAAGTCAGGGACACTTCACACAGCGTGTAATAGCAAGCAAATATAATTTTGTTTGGTATTAAACCCATTTGTGGGAGGGATAAAACATAACCAAATCCTAAATGACCCTAGGTTCCAACATAACTATCACAAGATAATTGCCAGACCATGAGAACAGCCTCAGTTCTATTATGGTTGTGGAAACAGTACATAATTAATGGCATGCAAATGCTATGTTGCGCTTTCTGCTCCTGTATGCAAGTGCACCAGAAATCCGGTGTGAGAAAGGACTTTCCTCAATATATAAAATAGACCATTTTTCTGTATCATCATCACATGTTCAGTTTCTGTGAGAAGGGTAGGCTACAAAATGCATACCTCTGGACATTATTTTGTTGCCAAGTCAGTTGTGTATAGCACTGATTCAACTGGTGCATTATGAGATGAACTTGAGGTGAAGCAACATTACTTGGCATCACACTGTATGGGCCAGTAAGCAAAGTTTGCAAGAGACAGGAGAGGGCCTGTAAAGAAAGACATGCTTCAGTATATTTTACTTATTTCCTGAGATTTATATCCTGCTCTACGCCGCAAACGTGCTCAGAGCGGCTCACAACATCAATAATTAAGCAGTTCCCTAAGTCTAAACCAAGTCAAATCTAAACTAAGTTCAAATTATAACTAAATTCTAATTTCTTAGTTGTTTGTATAATTAAATTCCTGTCCTTTCTGATATACATAAAACTGGACAGGGATATTAACCTGTGTGATATCCAGGTTAAACCTGCATTACAAGAGGGATCTTTTAAATCGTATGCAGGGAATAGCACTTCCAGGAGAGAGAGCTGGGACACCCATAAAACCCCTTAATTTTATTTTATTGGTCCATAAGCAGGCTCTGCTTCAGTGCAAAGAGGAGCCAATTTGGTGTAGTGGTTAAGTGTGCGGACTCTAATCTGGGAGAACCGGGTTTGATTCCCCACTCCTCCACTTGCACCTGCTGATGTGACCTTGGGTCAGTCACAAGCTCTGGCACAGCTGTCCTTGAAAAAGAGCAGTTTCTGTCAGAGTTCTCTCAGCCCCACCCACCTCACAGGGTGTCTGTTGTGGGGAGGGGAAGGGAAAGGAGTTTGTAAGCCGCTCTGAGACTCCAAGTGAACGGCAGGGTATAAATCCAATCTCTTCTTCTTCTTCCCCCCCCCCCCCCCCCCCCCCCCCCCAGCGTTTGTTAAACATCTCCCCCCCCCCCCCCCCCCCCAAGTTCCATTTCTCTGGCAGCAACTTCACATTTTCCCCCCCATACTGGTTACCCTAGCTTGGTGTTTTATTTGTGGCAAACGTAATCAGTGGCTTCCTCCGACCCCTCTAGTCTTGAGTATCACAACTGTGGCATCCAAGGTGGATCAAATCCAGACATTTTAGTGATGGGGAAATGGAGGAAGAGGAAAGAAATGAAATTTTTTTCCGCCTCACCTGCTGATCCTGCATTAAAGTTTGACAAATGTTAACACTGAACTCAAGCTGTTTCTTCAGTTGGTTAATCTGTTCTTGCCACTGTTCCTTCTCTTCCACGTATGAAAGTTCAGACACCCAGCGATGGTTTTCTTGCCGTCGCATGCTGATGTTCTGCTGCTGCCTTGCTTTAGCCAGAGGACGGTAATTTCCATCTGCCGAAAGAGGACGAGGATTCTTCCAGCTAGAAATAAAGAACATTATGTCAAAGATTTTAGATTTAAAAATTCTGCATTCAGTACAGAAATGCTTCATACAGATTGTGAACTTGCCACACACGCTAAGTAATCCACTTTCAATCCACTTTCAGTGCACTTTCAAAGTGGATTTTGCCAGTTCACACAGTAAAACTCCAGTTGGAAAGTGCACTGAAAGTGGATTGAAAGTGGATTATTTAGCATGTGTGGCAGCAGCCTTAGAAAAGCAAAAGTCTGGATACAGAGCAAATGTAGGTCAAGATCACCTGGATTCTCCTTCTCCAATCCCGGGGGGAAAGAATCCTTTTCCCCCCATTAAGTTTCAAGCCTCCTTTATTTTTTACTTTCGATTTCTATCTCACCTTTCCCTGCAGGGTTCAGGGTGGCTTACGACATAATAAAATAGCTAAAAGTATAGCTTTACAGTAATAAAAACTACCACATTTAATTTACAATGGTGCATGATAAAACCAATGAATTACAGTTGGTGACTATCAGGAAGGGATATCTGAGAGGAGATTGAAACTCTAGGTTGGGGTCAATATTCATCTAAACACTGCTATCCCCAACCATATGCCTGGTAGAACATCTCTGTCTTGCAGGCCCTGCGAAATTGTTTCAGGTCCCACTGGGCCCCTCCTGGTCTCACTAGACAAAGAGTTCCATCAGTTGGGGCCAGGGCTGAAAAGGCTTTGTCCCTGGTCGAGGATAGCTGGATCACTTTGGGGCTGGGGATCACCAACCAGTTATCACTGGCTGAGCATAAAGCTTTTGGGGGGACATAACAGAAGAGACTATCATGTTGGCCTCATCCCTCCCATTCATGAGAGATACATGCTGCACAGTGTCTGGATATGTATGCTTGGAATAGTTATATCTTAATACGGGTATTCAGTACTGTTGTCAGGGCCCTAGTGTCACTGTGATTGCTTGAAAGCTAATTATTCTTCTCAATAAAACTCCCTGATTTCATCACATTCCACGTCTCAGTGGTTCTTTCAGTCTTGTCTAGGAGCTTTAAGTTATCAAACAGTCCTCTGGTTACTGCTTCTATATGTTATCCCCTTGACCTGGACAAAACCTAAGACAGCAGCTCCTTTTCCCCACAGGACTGAGATGGCAAAAGGAAGACTTCTCCTTTATTCCCAACGTGAATTCTGTATGGATTGGAAACGGGTCTCAGTCACAGGCCCATGTCTAGGACATGCATGCATGCCTTCCCAACCACATTTAGTGACAGGTTTTAGAGGCTGGGCAACAACAAAATTCAGCCTAATGACAAGTTGATATATAAAAGCAAAGTCAGAACTGCATGCACCTTTCCATTTCAAAGGTTACAGCCATTCAGAGTAAACATATTATAGTACAAAATACATTAATGCAAACAATTTAATGAGTGGCAAAAGAGAATAGTGCCTAATTGAAATAAGAACAATTTACTTCAACTTCAATACTAAAGGTCGCCTATGATAAGAATATGTAACTAACCTGTCCTTATCATCCTTTGCAAAATATGTACTCTGATCTACATTATTGGGACACATGGAAAACTCATTGGAACTAGATCCTTGCTCTTCTTCCTCTTCTGCTTGACCAAGTCCGTCAGAAAGATAGGCATCTTCATCTCCTTCATCTTCATCAAGAGCACAATGAGTGGACCCTCCCCATGTTGCCATTGTTCTAGTATTACATATAAAAAAGAAGTAATTCTGCCGCTAAAGCATAGCAAAGTTACATCATATAAGTAATAATTTTACACCACATACAGTCAATGACACATGTACTTAAAGCAGTTTGGAAATACGTTTTCTCTCATTTGTTCCCTTTCTTTTAGGAGTGGTACTGAAGAAGCAGGTATGTTTCTAATTTTATATTCCAGTTTTCCATTCATAACTTTCTAGGATTCTGCAACCGGAACACATTTTTGCTGTTTATAACCTAACAGTGTACAGCCTATCCAAACAGTAAGTAGTAAACAGCAGTACATCTGGCTACATAACCATCAGCCTGGCTACTCAGCACACATAATGACTATGCAAAAGGCACTGAAGTTTTCATAGAGATAAAAGATGCCTGCATAAAAACTTCTCCCAAGTATTTGAGACTACCCATAGTCATTGGGCGAGTTCTGATGGAACCATAAACCGTTCATTTACATTTTAACAGCTTAAGTACTGGCACAACTGATTGGTGCACAGTTGGTGAAAAGCAAAGACATGAAAGTGGCAGCAATATCACAACAGTAATCAGCTCAGGAGCTGTCTCGTTGTAATGGAGAAAGCAATGCCCAGACTCAGTATAGGACATTCTAATCACACGTGTGTGTGTGTGTGTACACATACAGACATCCAAGATATTTTTAAATTAAAGCCTTTTTTCAACAGATTTCTGCCATTATACTGAATGTTTACAGTAGTTAAGTAAACTAAATGAAGCACAAACACTTAGTCTCTCACTTTTCTGTTCTGCTTTGCTGAGGAGTGCACTGAGCCTCTGATCCATCACTCCTAACAGATGCAGCACCACCAAGTGTGGTATCAACAAGATCTTTTCTTCTCAAGTGTTCAGCCATTAAAGCTTCAAGCTGCTTTCTTCTCTGCCGCAATTCCTCTCTTAAAATCTCATGTCTGCGCATCTCAGACCACAGCTGTTTGAAATGAGAGGTAGAGAGATAATATTTTAATAAATTGGAAGAACTCTGTCCTAACTGCACGTTTTCATTTTCAAATTTTCCTATATGGGACAGTCTTCACAAGTGGAAAAGATGCCTCCTCTTGGCAATAACCAGGGCCCTCACTCTAAAATAAGGGGACTGGCTATCCTACAGCCAATGAGGCAGGGTTTGGAAAAGAACCTACCCCTCTTGAGGCTATGGAATAAAAGGAAAATGTAAGCAACTGCAACAATCCCCTAACCATAGAACAAGAATCAAACATAATCCTCAACAAAGAGAAAGTCATCCTTCCACACTCTTGTGTTTTAAGCCTGCCATGTAAGTGTGCTGGCTCTGTCACCTAGAAGGTAGTCTAAATTTTCTATAACATGGACATGCATCTCTCTCCCTCCCCTCTCTTTCAAAAACATGAGTGGGTAGATTTTCCCTGATGTAGAAAGGGGATTTGAGAGCCCATGTCCCCACAAGATCTTGTCCTATTTTTCATCTGGCTCAGTAACTCAAGGGACCCCCACAGTTAAACACTGGCTGCTCAGAACGGATCACTGTAGGACCTATCCATGGAATTCAGGAACTTGGGAGGCAAGCAAGGACCTGGAGGATCAGACTTTGTTAAACTGTAGCACTGCCCACGTTGCAGCACAAAGTGGTCCTGAAGACGAATCAAAATCATACTTGAACAGAGGAGTCTTACAGAACTTGTGAAGCACCTCTCTCTCTCTCTCTGACTTCAGTGGAATGGTCTCCATAGGGTATAGTAGAGCTGAATAAAATCAGGTTTCCAAATATTTACCCAAACACCTATACAATACCAATACTGGTATTTGGAACTATTCAGGAATATTGATATTTTTCAGGTCCAATATACCTGATTCAGAACCTCACCCCCACACTTTTTGCACACCCCTAATTGCTATAGCAGAAGAAACACAAGAATTGTGCCGCCTGTTAACTAGGCAGGATAAATTGGGAAAGCCCCTCCTCATCATGCCTTATTAGCAAAAGGATTAGGCCTTTTCCCAATAGGAGTGCCCTTTCTAATTCATGAAGACTGCCCCACCCTGGATTTGCTAGGAAACATTAATTAGTATATGTTACTCCAAGTTTTTAGAAGAAGAAGAAGAGATTGGATTTATACCCCGCCCTTCACTACTCAAAGGTGTCTCAGAGCGGCTTACAAACTCCTTTCCCTTCCCCTCCCCACAACAGACACCCTGTGAGGTAGGTGAGGCTGAGAGAGCTCTGACAGAAACTGCTCTTTTTCAAGAACAGCTCTTATCAGAACTATAGCTTGCCCAAGGTCATCCAGCCAGGTGCAAGTGGAGGAGTGGGGAATCAAACCCGGTTCTCCCAGATTAGAGTCCGCGCACTTAACCACTACACCAAACTGAAGGAATTTTTTTTCATTCACATACACTCAGGACGATACATTTCTGGATGCCTAGAGACCAACTAGTATGGACGACATGCTACCATGTCAGACTCTTTGTGCTGTAGAAGGATTAGAAAAGGAAACAACTACATGGGGATACGGGTGGGCAGAAGAAGAAGAGGAGATTGGATTTATACCCCACCCTTCACTACCCAAAGGAGTCTCAGAGAGTCTTACAATCTCCTTTCCCTTCCCCTCCCTGTGAGATAGGTGGGGCTGAGAGAGCTCTTTCAAGGACTGCTTTTGAGAGAACAGCTTTGAGAGAATTTGTGACTGATCCAAGGTCACACCAGCAGCTGCATGTGGAGGAGTGGGGAATCAAACCCGGTTCTCCCAGATTAGAGTCCGTGCCCTTAACCACTACACCAAACTGGCTCTCATATCCCCCCAAAAAAGTTTACCAGCTCAGTCTGTACCTGCTCAGATTCCTGCACTCTGTGCCCATAACAGCACTTTACTAGGTGCTACTTTGTCCCACCCACTAATGGATTCCATCCTTGTAAGTCTCAATTCCCACTCATGATACTCATTATTTTACTCCATCTCATCCAGTCTCTCCCACCTAACCCAGATCTCCAGTTTTTACCCAGATTTAATTGTTCAAATGTCAACATTTTGAGAACTGTTTGATGTGGATGTTTTATTAAAAATACAGGCAAATTTACCAGCCATTTACAACAGTAAATCCAAAAAAGTTTCCAATAAAAATTGTGAAAGAAAACATAATATTATCATTAATATATAATACCTCACTGTCAGCCACAGATGTTTCTTCTGGTTGAACCACAGCCTTGCTTGCTGCGTTGGTTTCATTAACTACCGGTGTTGAAGCATTACCCGGACAGTTATCTAGGCTAGATGACAACTAAGAGTAAAATTAAAATCATGATGAAATTAAAAGTAATTACAACAAAATAAATATTCTAATGTGAGCATGAATATCAAATCAATGATGAGTTGGATCCAGATTGCAGTGAGTAGAGCTTGCACTTGGAATCTTTGCTGCCATGTCTTATGTTTTTGTAACACCTTGAAAAACCACTTCTGAGGGTCAGAGGGAACAATATGGGATAAGGCACTGGAGAAGAAGGTGCAGAGGGAAGGGGGACATTGGCAGAAGACACCTCCCATCTTGCACGAGCTCCTCCTCCATCTGAGTAAGCATGTGTGAAGCGGGGCCATTTTCACTGATTTCCCCCCCACCCCCACCCCCTACTGCACTGCATCCCACACTGAGGGATCCCTTAACCTTCAGATGTGGACATGAGTTTGAAGAAAGGAGATGAGAGCAGAGTCCCTTCCACAACCAGCACACAGTGATCTGAACCCAACTCATTATCTGCAATATCATTTATTTTTATTAGACTAATTTAGGGCTGTTTTTTCTAGGGGAACAGAGTTCCAGAACCTCTTTGACAAAATTCTTTTAAAAATGTTTAAGTTCATGACTTTCCAGTATATAGATTGAAAACTTCGTTTCCCTCGTGAGTTCCAGCACCTCTTTTTCACACACACACAAAAATCAGTGTTACACTTCAGCAAGTATGCTAGCAGAAAACACTTTTGAATTAGCCCAAAGATGATGTACACAATGCTCCACTCACTGGTGACTGTGGGGTTTACGCCAGACTGAACTGAATAAATTTTTGCACTGCTTGTCTAACCAGAACCTATGGTCTCTTTCACATATATTTTTCTCTTCCTATTTCTGACCTTTCAGTATATTGGCAGCCACAGGTTTTAACTTCTCTAAAACAATGAAAACTAAAAAAATACATTTCAAAACATTCGTTGACTAAAAAACTAACCTCTAATTGTGTAACCGCTGTGTTTTTGTGTATCACTTTTATGTTTTTTCTACTTTTGTAAATTAAGCGGTTCCAAAACTTCAAACTCTATGTAAGAATTGCTTGTGAGAAAACAAAAATTCTAAAACACTGAATTCAAAGAAAAGATACAGGTGTGACGCATTCTAATGTCTAGACTTTCTAATCTTAAAGTAACAGTACACAAACCATTCCTTACTAAGCACCCACCAGCAAACATCTCATGAGATGGAAGACTGCCTACTCACTTGCATGTCACTTTTCATGACCATAATTATAGCTCTGCACATTCCAAACGATACCTATGTATTATCATCAAATGTGGAATCCTGGAATCTGTTCTTGGAAACTTTGATATACATTCCTAGAAAAAGAGTGTTGCATTTACCTGTAACTGTTGTTTGTCGAAGTGTCTGCTGCGCAGGTGCACATTTGGACTGTGCTTGTGCGGGCCAGCCACTAGAGGCTCTCTACAGCCATTTTAGTATATTCTTAACACTCTGAGGGAAGCCCCTCCCCTGCAGAGCTCATTAGAGGCCATGTTCCCATCTAATGATCACATGCTCTCTAGGGAGGAGCTCCCCAACGGCAGTCCTCCTGAGCCACTGTGTCATGACTAATTGCATCCTGTGAATTCACAGCGAGGTAGGAGGGAGGGAATATGTGCCTGCACAGAAGACACTTCGATAAACAACAGTTACTGGTAAGTGCAATACTGTTTTCATCTTCAGTCTTCTGTGCAGTCCCACACTGGGAGACTACGGAGCTCCTTACCTTGGAGGTGGGGTGAGTTTCAGTGGAAGAGGGAGTGCAGCACCGCCCTGCCAACGGCTGAATCCCTTCTTGCATTCATGTCCACAGAATAGTGCTTGACAAAGGTGTCTGACGGCGACCATGTTGCTGCATGGCAGATGTCCTCTCCGGAACACCACAGATGCTACCTGAGCCCATGTTGAATGTGGCCAAAGCACCAGAGAGCACAGTAGATTAGCTTTTTCGTACCCCAAGCCAAAACTATCCATCTAGAAATGATCTGTGCCGAAGCTGGTCTCCCTTTTGAGCAAGCAATCTGGCCACTCCATAATTAGTTTGCTGTGGAGCCATCCTACCTGAGCTGAGACAAAAATGTGTGAGCTGGAGGCTAAAAAACTATGAGCTAGCTCACACTAACTCGGCTTAGAGGGAACACTGGTCTTAATACAAGTGCTGAAGCCATAGCCTTGGAAGAGGAGTCAACAGAGTTTTTACCTGCATTTATTTGCTGTTTGGAAAATCGTAATGCTTCCACTTGTAGAATTTTTGCAAGAGGCTTCTTCTTTTCAGGTGGGAGTTCTATCCAGGTAGCCAACGTTTCCCAGAGGAACAGTTGGTACCCTTCCATAATTGCACCATAGTCGGCAATGCGCAGGTTGGGGGCAGCAGAAGAGAAGACTTTTCTGCTGAGTGCGGCAGTCTTTCACCCTTCTCTATCAGCTGGTGATGAGTGGGTTCCTGTATGCTGCCTTGCCTGCATCTCCTCAGCTATAAAGGATAAAGCCGAGGGATGGCAAAATAATTAGGAATTACCTTACTGTTGTATTCTATATAGATTCTCCACTTTCTTGGATGTGCAGCATTGCTAGCTGGTTTCTGTCACAAGGTCTTGGTGATGTCAGCAATGCCTTCTAGAACAGGAAAGGCAATTATACCCAGCAAGTCAGCGTAAAGCTTGCCTAAAATCTAATCACAAGTTCTTGGGTTGCTGGAGGTCATCTCTAACCCTAATGATTTAGCCATCCTCATCATTGGCTCTGTGTAGAGCTTTAAATTTTTGTTAGGTGACACCATGTCAGGATCCCCTACCATGTTGTCAGGGGATGGTTCCGATGGCAAATCTGAGTCTGGAGCAGAAGGTGAGTCAGGTCTTTGCTCTTCCTCAGAATCTGAATGTCCCAAAAAGGGATGAGGCAGAATTGCAGGAGGGTATCACACCAGTGGACCTGCAGCATTTCGATTCTATGAGGAAGGATGTCTAGGTTCTAGAGGTGCTTTCTACTGTTGCCAATCACCCCATTCTTGAGGTCTAGGGGACAGGAAATAATAAAGATATCCTTCCCAAGGAGGTAGAGGCGTAGAAGCCTCCCATGGAGCTGGAGAGGGTGGTTCCAATGGACGATTCGATGCTGAAACTGCTAACGCACTCTGGCCAGGTTCCAATTTCCCTTCAGAGAATGAATGCACTGGGGAGGCATGCGGAGGAGTCTGTGGTGTTAAGACTCTCTTCCATTCCACTGGAACCATCAGAACCAACTCTAAGTTAACTGGAAATGCAGCACTGCTTGATTCTGGACACATCTTGGAACTGGAGCGTTGCTTCTCCTTATGTTTTGACTTGGAACGCACCTTTTTTGGTAGGGGTTCTGATGTGCAACATTTAGCTGAACGAATGGGGGATCAGACCCAATTATTCAGTTCTATCCCTGGAACTGATGGAATTGAGACACTTGATGGTGAACTTGTAAGGTAGCTGGCAACTTCAAGGGCAATGATTGGCTGTGCTCTGTCAGGGCAGATGCTTTCGCTGCCAGGCTATTAGAACTGGAGAGTGCCTTTTCCCATAAACTAGCCTTCAAATGCACTGCTTGATTTGAGCGAGCTTTAGGAGTTCTGGAGGCAGATCTTGTACATACCTGTATTATGGGCCTCACCCAGGCAAAGAAGGCACAGAAGGTGCTCATCTGAGCACGTCATCTTCATACCACATTGGGTACATGTTTAAATAGTCTTCTGTGACATATCTGAGGCAGGAAGAGCTCAGAAGAAGAGAAATTTAGAGGAAAAACTCACAATCTTCGTAGCTGGAGAGAAGACATCCTCACAACGTGGCGATGAAGAAAGGACTGAGGGAAAGGGGGGCTGCTCCCTGCAGAGCACATGACTGTTGGGCAGGAAAACAGCCTCTAACAGGCTCTGCAGGGGAGGGGCTCCCCTTGGAGTGTTAAGAATACATTAGAATAGCTGTAGACAGCCTCTGGTGGCTGGCCTGCACAAGCACAATCCCAACGTGAGTCTGCACAGAAGACTGAAAAAGAACCTTAGTTAAGAATGAACTTGGACTTTTCTGTTACTATTTCTGATTCAAAACTTATCTCTACCACTGCAAGGATTAAAAAGGTTACAAATAGACACTTTTTTCAATATAAAAAAGAATGGATGCTTGAATGATCAACATTCCAGTGAGAAACCACAGGTCACAGAAAACTGCTGTTGGGGCTGTTTCTTTCCCTCTTACAACATAGCCCAATGTGCAATCTACCTACCTGAAGATCTGGACAAGCCTTCTGCAACACCTGGATTTTTTCCTGAATCTTTATCAGCTTCTGTCTCTCTTCTTGGAGATGTTTAAGTTCTCTCTGTTGCTGCTGAAGTTTGGCTTCATAGAACCTTTCCCAAAAAACCTTGCCCTACAAAAAAACTGCTCATATTAACACCTTCCTGAACAAGAATTTTACAATAAATCATACTGAAAGAGAAATGGGCAGACTCCAACCCTAGATTAATTTGGAATGGGGACCATTAAAATATAAAACACAACAGAATGAGTGAGGAGCCTACCAGTTTTCTGACATGTAGTCTTATCTTTAAATTCTGTTTAAAATGTTGCATGGTTTTAAGAATGTTGTGACCCACCCTGAGCCTGCTTGCAGGGGAGGGCAGGATAAAAGATAAACTAATCTATTTTCAATTGGCAAAATCTCCAGATCCCATAGTGCTCCCTACATTCATGAAAACACACACACACACACAAGCAATACCTTCCTAGTGGCCAATGTTGGATCAGCCCAACGGCCCATCCAGTCCAACACTGTCACATAGTGGCCAAAAATACCAGGTGCCATCAGGAGGTCCACCAGTGGGGCCAGGACACTAGAAGCCCTCCCACTATTGTCCCCCCCCCGCCCCAAAAATACAGAGCATCACTTGCCCCAGACCGAGAGTTCCTATCTATACCTTGTGGCTAATAGCCACACACATGCGCCACTTGGACTTTGAAACAGGATTGGAAAATAAGAATAGGCTGGAACACACACACACACCCTTTAAATCTAGTAGGTGAGTCTCTGCTATCAAGAATTTTAAAGAAAGTGAAAGAGGCCATACCTTGTTTTTTCATTCAGTACCACACCTTTCTGTGACTTGTTCGTGCTGGCTCGAATGTTGTTCGGTTGCTGCTTTTCTTTTTCCTCTTCAGCCAGAAACAATTCACCCATGTTATCCCTCACTGCAGCCTCTGGCTCTACATCATCATCCTAGAAGAGCAAGTGTCTTCAAGACATGGTACCAAAGCCACAGTCAGGTACACACCTCCCTATTTTTTTTTTTTGTAAGGGTTAAAAAAATCAATATATCTATTTCTCAAGGGTGAGCAGACCTGCGGATATTTAAATCTGCAGATCGGGCCCACACTAAGAGAAAAGAGATTTTTCTGCAAACGTAGGACCACCCAGGTTTGCAGAAAAATCTGAAAACTAAAGAAAAAAATCATGAGGGGTTTAACCCACCCCCCAAAAAGAGTGTTGCCTGCGCATGCACAGTCAACACATATACCTTCTATGGCAGTGAAAGAAGCGGAGGGGCTACAGAGCAGCAAGCAGTGATGTTGGGGGGGGGGAGGCAGGCGGGCAGCTAGGAGGCCATCAGCCACAGTGGGCCTAGCAGACATGGAGTGAGCGGGCTCACTGGAGAGGAGGGCTGGCAGCCACAGTGGCAGTAACTTGGCAATCTTCACAAGGAAAGCGGGCTTGCCAACAAAGAGGCCGGCAGCCACAGCAGTAACAGCTTATCAAGCTGGGGGGGGCCAGCAGCCATGGAGGGCCAGCTAGCTTCAGCAGCGCAGCCTGGGAGTTGTGATGTGCCAGGCAAGAAAATGGGAGGGGGAAAATCCCCCCGCAAGTTTTGCAGGCCCACACTCGTGTACCATAAGATGGAGAAGTTCTTTGACTTACAGATGAAACCAGGTTTAGACAAACCACAGCGTACTACTCAACTTGCTAAAAAACCCCTCAAAATAGTGTCAGTTAAGGTGGCTATACTGATACAGAATATAAAGTTCTATAAGAAAGAAAACATACCTGTACCATAGCAACAAGATTCTAGGAAATCCCCCCGCAAAAGTTTTGCAGGCCCACACTTGTGTACCATAAGATGGAGAAGTTCTCTGACTTACAGATGAAAAGAGGTTTAGACAAACCACAGCGTACTACTCAACTTGCTAAAACCCCCTCAAAATAGTGTCAGTTAAAAGTGGCTATACTGATATAGAATATAAAGTTCTACAAGAAAGAAAACATACCTGTACCATAGCAACAAGATTCTGAAGCTGCCTCAGTTTCTGCTTTGCTGCTATTAGTCTGTTAATCTTCTGCTCAAACTCCATGTCTACTGGAGCATCGTCAGCCACACTGCTTCTGCGACTGGATAAGGAAGCTTCACTGACTCGATCAGCTTCTCCATCCTCCTCACCTTGTGGTATATCTGCACCTTCATCATCTTCTCTATTATAGTGACAGTCTGAAAGAAAAACAAAATTACTGAAATTAACTGATGAAGGGAGCAGTGATTCTTAAAAACTTATATCCTGGAAATCTTGTTGGTCTTTAAGGTGTTACTTGCTCTTCCACTTCAGACCAACACAGCTACCCACCTGAAATTAACTGCAGGTGATTCTAGCACAAAGCTGTACTTTTTCATGAAGACTTGTACATGATCTTAAGTACCTTGATCTGGAATTAATCCCCACTGATTTCATATAACAGTACTAAGGTCTCAGTCTCACATTAAGATTATGCCAGGACTCCCTGGAACATTAAGAGATCTATTTTTTAATCTTCAAAGCACAAAACTTTGGGGGGGAAATCACTGCAGCCAGAGGGACCCTTTTTTGCCTATGCAAGCTCACTGAAATTATTTTGAGACATACCTAAAGTTGACGGCATGTTCAGCGTTCTTACATTAGCAGACCGGTTGTTTATTTCACAAGCTGTATTAAGATGCCTCCCATTATGGTTATTCGTCCCACACTGCAAATTGCTATTGCAATTTATTTCTCCCCAGCTACTGGCGCCCTGAGGATTTCTAAGAGAAAAAAAATGGTGTATAATGTATCCCTTCCAAGTCCCAAGCAAACAAAAACAAAAACAAAAGAGCTCAAATATACCAGAAAGTAATTAAAAACACAAAATAACTGGTGAAAAACAAAGCATATCTAAAATCTTAATTTTACTAGAATACTTTTTGGCTTATTATCTTTATTTTGATAACTAGAAAGCACAAACTGTGCCTGTGTAGTGGACTGTATCACAGCAAACAAGAGATGATTCAACGTAACAGTTCCCCTTTTAAAAATATCACATTTGTAACAAAGATCATGGGCAACACCATTCTTTTACCTGTATTTACTTACATTTCATGAATTCTACTGACAACTTTATACAAATGAACTCTTCACATTTATACTGGGCAAGGAGCAGGTATCAACCTTTTTAAATGCTTACATTTTATTGTTTCTTAATTACAAAAAAACAAAGTCCTTTCAAACCCATCCCAGAAAAAACTTAAAAGTACAGCGTCTACTGGCAACTGGGCCAACTTAGCTGGGCTGGTCAGGAATGAGAATTCTAACTGTTCACATGGAGGGAGTGTGAGCTCACCCACTCCCCACATTGCACATTATGGCAGAAGAGAAAAACACAGATGTGCAAGCACCCAGTAGCCCCACTTTCTCATAATATCAGGCTTCATGTATTTCAGACAAAATCAAATGTTAATGGAAAAAAAGCTGGCCAGTTAGATGACAGCCATCTATTTTGATGATGTAAATCTGGGATTTGATAGTATTATGTTAATATTATTTTATTCGGCAACAATTAAAACCAACCTAATATTAGTAATTGGATGTGGATTCTCATGCTCTGAATCACACTCTGAGTCTTCAGTTTCTTCTTCCTCTTTAGTGTTTTCATTTACTGCATCAGTCATCATATCAGAAGTCTGTTCATAATAGTGGACTAATTCACGCAATTCATTCAGTCTTTTCCGAGCTTCATTCAACTTCCTACAAGAAAAGACATCCAAGTGACAGCCCACTCATTTCATTTCAACAAAAAAACCCGTTATTCTTGTTTTGGGACATTCAGAGTTAGCATTTTCTCAGGTGCCAGGAAGGAGGAGAATTGACTAATTTTGTACAAATCCATGGAAATAAGGGGATTTTTTTATAAGCACTGGAGAGAAAGAAACTTATTAATGAAAATCTATAAATTACACCTTTTCAATTTAAAAACAGTTTTGCAGACCATATGAAGAAGCATTTACAAACAAGGAAAAATTGAGAGAGGCCAGAACTTGATTTCATCTACACACACATCAATTAGATTTGCCAGTTTAGGGGTTTTATGACATACTGTACCAGAAATTTGAGTTGTTGCTTTGTAATCTGGCTAATAACAATAAATCAGATTTATACAGCATTTTAAATTGTCAAAGTGCTTCACATACATTATCTTGTAAGAAATTCTACAACTGCCCCTAAATCAGATTAATATTACCTCCACTATGAAGGAGTGGAAGTCAAGGAAGCATGGCGTCCTCAGGCCCATCTAGTTCCTGAAAGCCATGAGATTTAAACGTGATTCATAACAATCTCGTCACTATTGCCACACCTCCTTCTTGTTCGGCACCCTAATTTCCTGGTGGTTCCATCGTAGCATAGATATCAGGTTTTGACAGAATAGATAATACAAGAAAGGAGACCTGTGAAAATCGCGGGGGGAGGCTCGCTGGGCTCGCTGCTCTCCCCCCCGGCTCCCAAGCGGCGGCGGCGGTCAGGGAGTTCGCAGAACGTTCCCTGCGCATGCGCAGGGGACGCTCTGTCACTTTGGGGGGGCTTTAAGTATCCCCCAATATTTGTCACTTTGGGGGGGATTTAAGTATCCCCCAATATTTTTTTCGGGGTTTTAGATTTTTGTGCACACCTGGGGACTTCCCCAAGTGTGCACGAAAATCTCCCTCCCCCCCAGGTGCCCCCGATGTGCGGATTTAGGTATCTGCACGCACGGGGGCCACTTCGCTATTAGATATATAGATGGTACTCCCAAGTAGTCATGTGAACTTTATTTGTACATGTTAGAGATCTGCTGTTGAAGAGTTCAACTGAAGTGCATGTGCTAAATGCTTAGGAGTACTCAGCATGAGCATCCAAGTTTCTTTTTTTCAGCAATCACAACCAACCAAGAACATACAATCCCCTGCAATGCAATGGGGTGGATCAAACCATCCTCCAAGGAGCCTTCCTCCAACAGAAAAGCCACTTGAGTTGAAGGAAGGCTTCAAACTTTGCTTGGTGGGTGGTAGAATAGGAGTAGGAGCCACGCCAACGAGTACTGACAGAACAACTTTAAAATAGAAATTATTAAACTCAAAGCGAGACTAACTAGTTTGTCCTGTGTGTAAGCACATGTCTCTGATAAAATACCACTGCTGGCTGGCCAATAAAGCTAGCCCATATAACAATTATACAAAATCAGAATCTAAAGATATTACTGTAGCTTCTCTGTTGGGTTTAGGTGTTCATCGTCTTCACTCTCATTCTGAGAGGTTACAGAATCCCGATGATACACAACAGACGATGGTAAGCAGGGAGATTCTTCATTGACAGTTGCCACGTCAGGAGCTGCTGACATGGGATTTCTTTGATCTGCACTCCTCTGAGGTGAGCTGGAGGCAGGCAGTACTGCAAACCAGAAAATGAAATCAGAGATCTGTCTTATTTTAGGCAAAAATTAACAACTCAAAGATTGCCTTTAAGATTATGCATTGTGGATCACTGTACTAAATAATTCTCTGGTGAAACTCAGCAATACCAAACCATACATCAGGGAACTAAAAAGAAGCACATTTGCACGTCACAAGCAGAGAACAGAACAAGGCACGCACGTTTTCACCTTGAGCCACTAAACACAAAGTGGCCTCAAGAAACAAGAATCACCTCCAGGTAACAAGAGCCATTCCCCATTCTTGGGTGCACTTTTACTTGCTTTCCTCACAACTGGGCAAACAAAACAAAAAAGTTCACTGGCTTCCCCTCCTGTACCCTCACTCTACAGGAGACTTCAGCTGTACTAATGGAGGAGCCAAGTCACACATCATCAGTGCAAATTTATTATCAGATGCACTCAAAAAAACACAGAGAAAAATAAGTTATCATCCCCTTCAAGGCTCCTCACTGTAAACCTTTCTGCAATTTTTTAGATATGGTGTGCAATGTTCCCTCTAAGCTGAGTTAGCATGAGCTAGCTCACAGTTTTTTAGCCTCCGGCTCACAGATTTTTGTCTTAGCTCTGGAAGGATGGCTCCAGAGCAAACCAATTTACACAGCAGCCAAATCGCTCGCTCACAACTTTAACGCCAGTAGCTCATAAAGTAGATTTTTTGCTCACAAGACTCCACAGCTTAGAGGGAGCATTGATGGTGTCTGTATACAGATCCACACAAGGTCCAACCTCTTCTCAGTCTCCCTGCTCACACTTATCTGCAAAGGAAGTGATTCCTGCCCACTCATGCTCTTCACAGAAGATTAAATGCACATTTTTGGCTCGCATATCTGTACCCAAGTAAAAAACATCTCCTAAGACTAGTAGTCATAAATGCTGCATCACAGAAACCTAATGCAGTGGCCACTTTTCAGTTCCTTTCCTATGTTCTGGAAATGTAGCAGGAAGGAGTGTTGTGGAACATAAGCAGAAGCATGCAACCACCAATGTTCCCTCTAAGCTGAGTTAGTGTGAGCTAGACCACAGTTTTTTAGCCTCTGGCTCACACATTTTTGTCTTAGCTCAGGAAAGATGGCTCCAGAGCAAACTAATTTATGCAGCAGCGAAATCACTCACACACAGCTTTAATGCCAGTAGCTCACAAAGTAGAATTTTTGCTTACAAGACTCTACAGCATAGAAGCAGCATTGGCAACTAGACCCTTATTTTTATTTAGCAGGCTGGATTATCTGATACTGTATGTGGAATTAGCGAATGGAGTTTTGATCATGTGTGTTAAAAACGAAAATGAGGACAGGACTGTAATTGCTATTTCAACACTACTCATCAGAGTACCAAATTATTTACAGTATTCAGACATTTATCCTCACAACATCCCAACTAGGTGGTTTAAGGTAGAATGCTTTCTGAGATGCTACTTTCTTGACTTCTAAAAAAGCCACTAGGAAAAGACAAGGAGCGCAAAATAACCATAAGGAGTGAAGGACTGGATACTGGTCCAACGCACATCTAGCAGTGCATGTTTCTAAAAGATGTACTTTGGGCAGTTTATCTCTTCCCTACTTGCTTCTTTAAGATGGAAGTAGGGAAAAGTAATGTCTGAAGAAAACCCAAGAGCAAACAACTTATTTGAACCAGGGATTTGAACCAGAAAATGAAACATCCTGATTAAAATTGTACTTAGAAAATGCAAAACTGACAGGACTTCTTAGATGAACTTACTTAAATCAAGAGAAATTCCAGATATTGACTGATGCAAGTTTTAACTTACAAAAGTTCCAAAATGGAATTCACAATTCAAAATCACAAGCTACTTACGTGATGAATTGTTAAGATGGTGATCACGAAGTGTATGTAGTTCTCCTAGTAATTTGTCCATTTTTTGCTTTTTACCCTGGAGTGCTATCATCTTACTAAAGAGTTGTGCCTTCTCTTCAGACAAATGCTCAGACAGGGAAGAATTCCTGCTCTGAGAAACCTCCCTAGTAAGAGAGAGACTTTCTGCTTGCCTTCTGTTATCAGGCACAGGCTGACCCTGAAAGTAAAGATACATACATTTTATTTATGGTGGTTAAAACTAGAATAGTTCACCTGCTGTTGCTTAAAAAAAAAAATCAAGGTCAAATTTTAAGGGTTTCACGTAATAAAAAAAATCAAGAGCAAGTACAGATCTCTGCACAATACATCTGCTTTTAATAAAGTACTCCATTTGTTGTGTATTTCAAAACAATGCAAAAGCCACTAGTTGACATTTTCACAACAGCATAACTGAAAAAGACCAGGCAACAGAATCTAATAGACCAAGCAATAGAATCTAATAGAATAGAACCAGACATATAGCATGAGATTTAAAGAACAATTCTGCCCTTACAATTTCTCTGATTTTTCTCCCAAAACCTACAAGCAGGTATGATTTCTGCATACTAGGGAACATATCCCAATTACATAGCAACATGTATATTTTTAAAGGAAAAAAAAATAAAGGACTGAGCGTATACATTACCCTCATTGAGCCATAACATGGCGAGGTCAGGGGAGCATCACTTACACACACATTTTTTTAAAAGCAAACTGGCCTGCTAAAGACTCGAGAGTTTAGAATATCCTGGACTGGTAAGTGATATTTTCCAAAGAATTTCTCCCACAACTCTTTGCAGGCCCCCAACATAACAAATATTGGCCATAAGGGGTAAAAGTACCACGAGATATATGAACATATGAAATCACAACTATTCTATGCATGGTAGCCAGTTGCCCTTTAGCTTACTCAAGGACGTTGATCAGTAGACAAGGAAGTCTAACCCTGAAAGAATGGAAGAAAGGAAGGCCCCACGCTAATATGGCAAAAATGTACAGACATACTGAATAGCAGGAGGGGAGGGTATCAGATGGGATGTGGCTCAGATTGTTCAGACACAATCAACACACCATGCACTTGATGTCTCCCCTCTACACTAGATCAGAACTGCATCCTACTCAGTGACAAACATCAAGGAAGGAACTGCAGAGAGGAGAGATGAATGCTTTTGTGCTTGATTCAGAAGCAGACTTCTCATTGGGATTATTAAGCCTTTCACTATTAAGTTTGATTGGGAAGCTAATGTACATATTTAATACAGACAGGAGTTACCTGAGACTCATGAAGCTGGTTGTGAAAACGCTGTATTAAGTCGTTTAATTCTTCATTTAACTCAGACGTTAAACTCACTCCTGAAATGCTACCTGTAGTTTCTGTTACAACTATTAAGGGGAGGGGAGGGGAGAAAAAAGAAATTCTACGTATGAAACTGCATTAGAAAATTCTCAAACTACATTTTAAAAATCACAGCATAGAGGATAGAAAGTTGCTATAGAAACCTGAACTCATGCCAGGAAGGACAGACTCTAGAACAGAGAGTATGTGTTATGAGAGCCGGATGTGACACAAACCTCATTTTGTCAGGTCGGGCCGTGTGTGCCATAAAATGTAATGCCAGGTACTGGAGATATAAACTTTACAGAAGATGCAGGCAAACCCAATTAACGATTTTTTAAACTCAAAATACAAACAAAAATAATTAATCCCTAGCTGTGAAATCAACTGATTTACTGGGGAACCACAAAAGCCCCAATAAGTGCATTTAATCATATGCAAGACTAGGTTTTTTCCAAGGGATACCATAAAGGGGGAGGGGTTAACTTACCTTTCCATACAAATGAGTTACTTTTTGTATATATAGCACTTTTAGGAGATGTCATCTTCCTTGCAAGTAAATACGGTAGTTTTTCAGCAGCCCCTCCATATGGCCAGCCTCAGCAGCCAAGCACGGCTATGATCCATCCCTCACTCTTTGTTTCCTCTCTTCCCCATCCTACCTCTGAGGATCTCGTGGAAGCACTCCAGACTCTCCCTCCACCACCACCAACCTTATGAGGTGGGCCAGGGTGAGTGACCAAGCCATGGGTGACCCAGACAACAGGGTTCTGGCTTGAGGGTGGGGGTCTCCCAGATCCCCACCAATTCCCATCCCTCTTACATTTCCCACAGAACACGTGGGGCTGAGGGGAAGGCCTGACAGAGTGGCTGTTTTTGAAACCTCGAAAGGGCACTTTTTGTCTTCCTGCAACACCTTTTCCCTTGGAGCTGAAAAGGAGGGAAGAGGTTGCCATCCCCCACCCACCCCAACACTCTTCCTCCCAGCTCCACAGCTGTTCAGATGTGCAGTGGCAACAGCAGCGCCCCCTTTTCCCTTTGCTCCTCCACTTGCTTTCAAGGCCAGGATGTCTTTTCCTTCAGAGTGGCATCCACTGGCCCTCCTACTCCTCTCTCTATCGCCACTCCCCCTTTGTCAGCAAACCACTGCTCCACATGCCCACTCGTGCTTGTCCACCTCCCGGTCACCTTTTGGAAAAATGTGAAGCTGGTTTGTGCAGTGGTGGCAGTGCTAGTTGCTCAGATCTGCCCCCCCGTAGCTGCAGACAGAGGAAGCAGGAGGGAAAAAATCACCACACCTCCGCTTTTTCCACCTTCGGTGTCATTCCCTCCCCCCACTATTTTACCTCAGCCTTTTAGCCCCAACCCTTAACCATTTCCTATTTCTTAACAACTGCGATTACACACACCTCACAATGTGTGCTTGCTCACCTGCTCGTTGACACCCCCCACACACACACAGTCTCCTGCCTTGCCTCTCACACACCAGTTGCTCGCAGGCCGGATAAGACCTCTGGACGAGCCGGTTCCAGCCCACAGGCCATATGTTTGACACCCCTGCTCAAGACGTATTTTAAGGAATTGGAATATGTATTTTTTTTGCCAGTGGGAGTCTGTTGCTCTGAGACGGCATCTCAAAGTTTCTAGAATTATTACAAAACGAAATTATAATAGAACTGCACCATGCCACACACAAATGTCTTCCAACTCTGCAAATATTTTGGAGTTTTCATAATCACGGTGGATTATTCATATATCACTTTATAATACTCTGATACCTGTTATAAGCCCAAATAGATTCAATGCAAAGTACACACAGACAGCATATTTTATTTAACAAGCATGGAAGTATATTTTTCCTGCGTGCAGGGAGGGCGGGGTATAAATGAAATAAAAGAAATAAATACACTGCCTTTCCCTTCCAGGAGGACCCGAAGTGGCTTACATCATTCTCCTCGCCTTCGTTTTATTTTCCCAACAACCCTGAAGCAGGCTACATTGACAGTGTGTGACTGTCCCAAGGCCACCCAGGAAGCTTCCACAGCAGAGTGGGGATTCAAATCTCGGTCTCTCAGACGCTAGTCTGACTCTTTCACCACTACACTGGCTCTCAGCCAAACCAAGTACTGTAATAAATATTATGAATACTTTTACTACTGGCAACTGATAAATCCAAGCAACCGTCATCAGAGTCAGAGAAGCACCTGACTCCTCCTTGCCTGACTGTCAGGACGTTAAAGATCTCTCGTTTGGGGAGGATGAGCTAAGCCATTCACTCAGCAACTATTACAAATACATTGGAACTGGCACAGGTGGAGACATAGCTTTTTCGAAGTGCTGTGAGCTGTTGTGATGACTTGTAGTAGAAAAGCAGTATTGATTGATATGTTATAAATAAATAAATACACTTATCAACTAAAGTGCTGTAAAGCTGTTGTGACGACTTGTAGTAGAAAAGCAGGATTGATACGTTATAAATAAATAAATACACTTATCAACTGAGGGGTTTCTTCAGGGCTCTAACAACTATGACATAAACAGCAAAAAAACCAATCAGCTGTGGAAGAGAAAAAAGGATTTCTGTTCCAAGTAAATAAAACCTCAGCTTACCAGAATCATCCATGACGGCAATGGCTTGCTCAGCTTTGTGCTGCAGAGCAAGGAGAGCAGCCTGTCTCCCTTGAAGAGCCTTCAGCTGCTCCTGCTGCTGCAACATCCTCTTCAGTAAATCATGTTGCTTCTTTAGATTTGCAAGCTCTTCTGTAGCCTCTTGCTGGGGATCCCTAGCCTAGAAATAAAAAGAGACAGTAATGAAAAATCAAGTTAAAAAACTAGCAGCACCCAGATTTGCATGGTTCTGCCTGGGAAGTAAATGGGAGGAATAACCCTAATCTCTATCAGTGGAAGTCAATTTCATTATGCCTATAATTGCATTGTAGAACAGCAACTCAACTATTTGTAATCTTACTTTCAACGAATAAATTAAACCCAAAATCTGAAAATAAAGGAGTTCTGGGTAACAATTACACTAAATAAGATCAAAAGTTACTGCTTGGTACCTTGGAAGTAAATTCCAGGTATTTGGTACACTTTTTATCTGCTCAACATTTAATTAATGGAAGATTAGTTATATTCAGTTCTTTAAAATGCACTCGAACTAATATTTTGCATATTCCACAATGAATTCTTTGTATAGTATCCTGCCTTTTTGGAAGTTACAAGATTCATTATCGGTCATGTTTTAAGACTAACGCCACTTTATGGCACCTCTCATATCACCACAAACAAGAACAACAACTCTAGCCAGAGTTAAGCCATGTCTCTCATTGAAATTAATGGAACTAAACAACTCAAATCAGGCCACATTGCACCAATTACTGCTACTATCACCAACCATTTAATTAATACCAATAATCCAGCACCATGATTATGTAGTTGCCCGTATTACAATGAAAACTGGGACAGAAAATCACTGATAAAAGCCAAGATCCAGCCAAAGTTCCTATCACACAGCTCAAACATCTTCCCAATAATGATTGAGACAATGGAGGACATGTGCAATTTTAATGTGAAATCTGAATACTTAAACCAATCAGAAGAAGTAGGATTTTTTTTAAAAAAATGAAAACACAAACTCTATAAAGTCACTGCTATTGAACAACAATAACAAAAGTGAAGGTGATATTTTATAATCAAAAGTGTTTTTGCTGAACAACCAGTCGGTAAGAAAATTCTAAACTAGGTTTCTACAAGAAAGCTATGTTTGATTCCAGCAGCTCAATGGTTGAAACTGCAGCAATATTTCATCAGAGAATACTATATTTAAAGAACTTTAATACTATACTTAAAGAAAAACTTTCTTCTTTAAAAAAACAAACCCAAAACCCTGGGGTTACAAAGCTAAACTGACATGGCATTGCCTCTCATATAGGAAGATATTTGTGTTGGGATGACAAGTTTAGAAATAAAAGGGGTTTGCTCTCACTATCTTTTCTGCTGGTGCAAGAGGGAAGAGAAGCCCCTTTTGACCCCTGAAAAGGCTAAGATGGGGATCATGGGACCCAGACAGGTGTTGTGTGGATAAAATGGAGGAGGGGAGAATGATGTTGTAAACTGCTTTGATTCCTGATTGGGGAGAAAAACAGAACATAAATATCAAAACAAATGAATAAAACACAGGAGACGAGGGCTGCAGTGAGGAGAGGAATGGGGTGAGATCTTCTCTCTTGCACCAGCAAAAAGCTGGTAGGATTTAACCCAGTAGAATACTTAAGATGTTAATTTTAAATTGTCTGCTGTAAGAGGATTTTTAAAATTAATTTCATGCGATAAAATATGATAAGTGAAACTTTACCAAAAGCTTAAAAGTATTAATAAACTCAACTCTTTCAAAATAAAAAAGCAGTAATCAACACATTTTAAACTGTTTTTAAAAACAGATAATTAATGGAAGAGAAAGAGAAAGGATTTATATTGAACTCCTATATTGAAAGATTTCCAGTGCAATATTTGTAGTGTACCTTTGAAAGCAATCCAGGTTCTTGTCTATTAATCATACTAGGCCAGATTTCCCTGCCATTCAGTGCAGCTCTGTCACTTTTCACTTTTGGACTTGATGTAATGTTCATGTCTGAAACCTGTCCTTGAGAAGCTGAATTCCCTAGATTGTCCTCAATGCGGGGTCGGGTTCTCAGACTAAAAGATACCTCCTTTATCAAATAGTTTAGCAAGTTAGACTGTGAATATACACTCCTGCTAAGAACAACATTTACACTTATACAAATTACTGGCATACTCAGTTTCTGATTCATCAATGCATCATACAATTGAAATCACACTCTTCTTTAATATTTTAACATATTTACATTTTTATGAAAAGGAAAGATTCAAACTATCAAAGGCATATGAGCACCAAGTTTCTTCAAGTTTCCCCACAGCAACTCTCTCAACTGAATCTTGCAATGTTTTAAACTCCAACAAAAGCTTTAAAAGCAGCTTAGGAGTTGGGAGTAGGACATAAGGTCGGATTTCTTCTGACATGTATATTTTTAAATTTATCTTTCTCAGCTATAACAATCAGCTCCTCAGACTGAGGGAATTAGGAGACACAGGGAATATAGGAACCTACTCATATAAAGTACTACTTGTATGAGTGGCACTTGTACATACTTCTGGATTGTGACAAATGTTATTCAGTCAGAATTCCTATAATCTGACAAAGAAACTTATATAAGCAAATTTGGAAATTCTTTGCATTGCATTGTACAAAATGCTACGCCCTGGTTCACACACTTCTGCCACTGGCACAGAAACTGCTACAAAAGCGGCTGCTACCAACCACTCTATACCTAGCAATGTTTTAAAGAAGTGGATCACATGAGTTATGTGATTATGTTCCACAACAACTAGAATCTAGCAACAGCGATGCACTTAAAATCTACATGCCTCATCCAAATCGTTACATTCTTATTGTTAAACTATTGTCAGAAATCTGGCGTATCAATAACTTTAAATAAAATTCATCAAAAGCACGGCCACACAGGCCTATGTATGGATCATGTCCAGTGTCCCCTGTAAGCTGAGTTAGTGTGAGCTAGCTCACAGTTTTTTAGCCTCCGGCTCACACATTTTTGTCTTAGCTCAGGAAGGAGGGCTCCAGAGCAAACTAATTTATGAAGGAGCCAAATTGCTTGCTCACAACTTTAATGCCAGTAGCTCACAAAGCAGAAATTTTGCTCACAAGACTCCACATCTTAGAGGGAACATTGATCATGTCCAGTTTCTTTACAGCTGCTTTCAGACACAATGACCAAACTATGGCTTGTTTATGGAAAGAATGAGTAAGGAAGTCCTTGGATTCACTTGCTTCATCTCCAAAGGGATGAGGGGAAGATGCTCATGACCTCCAAAGCTCATTACACCAAACCAACCACAGTACCATATAACAGACGTTCTATTCATCTGAATGCAGCCTAAATGTAACAATGACAATATCCTACTCAATACTGGTCCCTGTTTTAGATGCCTTTAATAGCCTTTACACAGTTATTTTGTCACTACATAATTTCTATTCAAAATGAAGCAATACCTACAACTAGGAACCGCTTCTGCCTGCCCATACCTTCCCACAAAATGCACACTATCATGTTTTCTCCCTCCCCCAGCCAATAGCTGCACACACTGACCGCTAAGCATATTATGACTGCAAGACAAACGTGTGAGTGCTACAAAGTAAGGGAGAAGAAAAACATTGTCAAGTTGACACATGGGTTTGTGATACAGCATTTCCAACCCCCTCAGAAGGCAAATGAATTAGGTGAGAAAAGGGAAAAAGGAAGTTGGAAAAGTTAGGCTTAAGGCACATAGTATGGGGGGTGGGGAGAACACTGGATGAGCAGGGAATGAGTGGGAAAGGCCATGGGCAGAATGAAAAGCTACAACTCAGTATCTTCCCTGACTCTTGGGTTCCAAATACATTGTGATTGCAGGTTAGTGTTAAGCAACACAAAAGTTCTTAACATCTAAAAAATAATTTCCTGTAATTCTACGGTTTTAAAAAGATATGGGACTGATGAGCAAGTGACTTAGATATGGGCCCAAGTTTAATGGACTTTTTGGAGTAATCTAACCTGTCTCTATTAAATATATTTTTCTTCTCCAAAACTTTTCTCTTAACCCCTCTCTAATGCTAATTTTTAGATTACTGTGACTTGCTAAACAGACAGAAGTTGAAGAAACCACCCAGGCAGAACTGCCCTACCAAGATTGTCAGAAAAAAACCCATGTTTTCTTAATCTTTGAAAAAATCCAAAATACAGGATATTTAATTCCATCCCAGCACCTTTAGTGGCCTGTTAAGACGTGTTAAATATCTTCACTCTTCAGTTACAATTATGGGTTTCACATCCATTCCTTTTCTATTAGGGTTCAAAACCTGAGATTACTTCAGAATGTTAAGCAAAGAGAAGTTCTTGCGATAGTGAAAATAAACTAGTATCAGAATGAATTGCCATGTGAAAGGGTTTATGAGGTGATCCGATTCCCTTTGGCAGGAGCAGCAAGGCCACAAATAAGCAATGAACACAATTACAAACGGCATGAAGCAAACTATGTTGAACACAACCTCATGAAACAGTGAGTAATGAAGAAGGGTTTACTATACAAACCAACAACGTTTAACGGGATCCTATAAAATAAAACACTTTGGACTTCAGTATTGTGCTGTTAATTGGGGGGAGGGCAGAGCTTCTTGGAATGAGAGAAGCCATTTTAAGTAATGAGACTCACCACTGCAGCCACATGTCCCCTTAATATTTAGTGTTCCTAAGTCAAGACATGGGTAAACTATAATATTAGTTCTATTCAGTTCTCAGAGTTTTGAGAATGTCTTTATATTAAAATTGAGTCACAAGAATAGTGATTTGCAGAGAGAGAAAAATCCTCCATTTCTAGCACCTTAATTACTAAAAATCAGCTTACCGTGGTATCTGAAACTTCAGACTGCACATCTACGTTTAGCGATGTGCTCTCAGCTACAGAGCCAGATCCCACAGCTGAATCTACAGTCCGACCATCCTCCTCCTCATTCTCTCTAGCCTAGAACATTGCAGTGGCATAAACAAAAAACTATATAAATGGGGTCGTAAAGTGAACTTGAAGGGAAAATGCTACATTTTAAACTCAACCCCCATGCTATTGACCAACATCAAAAATTTCTCTCATATAGGTCAAAGAGATATTCTCCAACTTACAAGCATCTTCTGCAAAAATTTCAGGTAAGACTTCTCCTGCTCCTTCAAATGATCTATGAGATGTGCTAAGCGTTCAACATTAGCAGATCTCTCGTTTTTCTCAACAAGGTCATCACGCATCAAACTGGCTTTTGCAATATAGTCACGAATTTGAACTAATCTGCTTACAATCTGAAAAGACACAGGGGACAGTAGTGAGTTAATCTATTGTGATGCATAAACACTAAAGTACGGAATAAGAAGTTTCAATAAAACAGATGGAACAGGAAAAAAAAAGTCAGCCTTAAAATGACCACATACATACACAAAAAATTATACCAGCCACAGAAAGAGCTGTAAAAAACTGTATGCCACTGCAAATTTAAAATCAGAATTAGCAAACAGTTACTCATGTACATAGCAACACTGTATAAATAAGGACAACAATAAACATGGACTTGTTTGACTAGTCTCTGACTACATGTGAAAAGCTTTTAAAGTGTTACAGTGCCAAAATCCAATCACACAACTGCCATACCTATTAGCTATGTCCTGCCTGGTTGACTGTGATCCTACATATTTTGTTATCAAGACACCTAAAAGATGCTGTCTATCAATAAAACAATCCTTTCTAGAAGATCTCAGAGATACCCAACAACTAATTATGCTTAAGATCTCTCTCAAAATGAAATACATGAAAAATTTATCACAAGCACCACCTGGCTACTGTCCACAGCAGGTTCGCCTCTTCCACCTTCTTCAATCGAAACTGGAAAATTTTGCAGCAAATCCTTACTCAAGGCAGCTGTAAGTAAGTCTTTGTATTGTGATGATCCACCAGTTTCTTGTGTTTGAGAGCTTGCTGTTGCATCTTTGCCTTTGTTAGTATTAATCTGTAGTGACAGGAAGTTGAATGGCTTTCTGTTTTCATTAAGCTGCCGTTTGTTGTTAGCAGCTGTTGCTCTCCCTTGGGAATCACTTCCGATACTTCTCTACACAAAAGCAAAGTATCACAAGATCACTTACACAGGCCTTTCAGACATGGCTCCAGCTTTACTCTATGATGGCACAGTTCGACAACTGTACGAAAAGGCAAGCGTCCATCTATCCTTCAAAATGGAGACACAATCCAAGGGGTGATATTAAAAAATATCACAGTAAGGTAAACTAGAGCGCAGGGGGATAGCTGCCCATCCCATCTCATATTCAGGTACCTGGACTCTGCTCCCTCTACTCACTGCTCTGCCAACACCTCTATCACTCATCTTTCACAGTCAGAGGAGTATGGGCAGAAAGCATGACCCAAGTACAGTGAGAGCTGCACCCACAGAGAAGCACTGAGGCAGCCTAGTCTCACTACTCATTCCAGTCTGGTGACCACAGGAGCTCCCTCCTGCATACTGCACAGCTGTTCATTTCTTCTGCCTACAGAAGGGGGAAAGGTGGTTCTGCTTGGCGCTCTCTGTACTTCCAGATTAAGGCTACAAAACAAGGAGATTATGCCTTTTAGCCTAAGGTGAAATTGTGCCACAAGTCAGGCAGTGCTGCCACTCTGAGGCCAGCTACCTGAGCACCTAATTGTGTGTTCCACAGACATCCTTCCCCCAACCTCCATCTTGTCACAGAAGAAGGAAAAGGACAATGCCAGAGCAAACATCAGGGTACAGGCACCAGCTGATTGTTGCAACCCCTTCCCTGCCTTTCTACTCAAGGGACTTAGATGGAGAGATGGTACTGAACACCAGAACATCCTGCCATCCTTTATCACTTACGTGCCTGGGAGAGAGGCAGGTACATAAACATTTTAAATAAAGAAGCACATAAAGACACTGAAGCAGATGTTAGCCTCTGCATCCTCCCACTCCATCTGTCAACCAGAGACACAGGGGGAAAATACACAGCAGTCAGGAACTGTGTGCAACACTACATCTTCCTTCCAGACACAGAGCTGTAGTTTAAGGCTGAAAGGAGGCATAAACTCAAGCATCTGGTTTCCAGAATAAGGGTAAGCAAACCACTGCACATGTGCCAACAGCAGCACAGAAGACCATTTTGCTTGGCACACAGGGCCAGATCCTCGCCCAAAGAACCAAGACACGGGCAGTACTGTTGGGGCCAGTGCTGTGAAAGATGGCAACAGATATGACTTGTGCCCATCACTGCCTTCCAGACCTGCACAGCCATTGGCCAACTGCAAAGCAAAATTTCTTGAGATTCTAGCAGTGACACTGGGGTCTGGTTTGTTCCAAGCATATCTGGCCAAGAACAACCTTCAGCCTCCCCCCTTTTATCTGCCAGCACACCAACATCTCACAGGTAGGCACAGGCAAAAACAGTTGCTTATCTGCTCCAGACTACAGTCTGCATTCTCAAGGGGAGGCTCCAAATTTCAAAAAAGAAGAAAGAATTAATTCCCTCACATCTTACTTACAAGAATTACATCTAACAACAGGAGCACTGTGTTACTAATGCATCCTGAGCAACAATGAAAGCATTTGTGCTTTGTCTTAGGGAAATATGACTTAATGAGAAACTAAATTCCCTTTTAAATTGTCTATTTTTCACTTCTTTCTCCTTATTTTAGACTCAAGCAATATCAACAAATCTTCAGCCAAGCTTTCGTCTCTCTCTCGAGTAAGGATTATGAGCCAGTGTTCCCCTTTCCATCTATTTTACTGCATTCCCTAAACTCTCTTCTCTAAAACAAAATCGTTCTACAGCCCTCACTCCCCCTTCTTTCTTGCCATCTCCCCAGATTCCCTCACCATGTTTTAATTCAGAAATAAAATAAAAACCTGAACACACAACAATGCATAGGTCACTCATTTGCTCATTTTATCTTGGGGAATGGAACGGGATCTAAATAGCAAGCTCTCTTTGTAAAGAAGAATGTACATCATAAATGGGCTGTGAACTGTTTTTGACTGTAACAACATTTTGTGTGAAGCAATATCAATCATGTGTATGAGAGCAAAATAAATACAATCTTATGATTAAAATGTTTGTCCCACTGCCCTGTAAATTCCCTCTCGTACATGAAAATATATGAACCTGCATTATACTGAATCAAACCATCCATCCATCAAGGTCAGTATTGTCTACTCAGATGGCAGCAGCTCTCCAGGGCATTACACAGAGGTCTTTCACATCATCTACTGCCCGATCCTCTTTAGCTGGAGATGCCGGGGCATAAACTGGGACTTCCTGTCTGCAAAGCAGAGGCTCTTCCGCTGAGCCACAGCCCCTTCACCCTCCCTTTTCTCTAGAGAAGCTAAAGCAAATTAGTCCTGCTTGGCAAGCGATCACTAGCAGGGAGGGGAGCAACAGAGAGATATGGGGCAAGGGGGGGGGGACAATGCCCTGAACAAGCAGCACCCTAGATGTTATTGGGGACAGGAAAGGGAACCTTTCAGCACATTGTTCAGAATAAACAAGGGTGGCATACAGAGCTATTCCTGTCACAGAAATGCTGCTGCTTCTCACTTTACTCCTCCTCTGTTCATCCACAACAATCTGTGAAAGGAAAGTCAGAACTACAGATTGAAAGAATTACTCAGCGGCAGCTCCATGTATCCCCTTTTCTTTTCCCAATTACTTAGCATGTACTCAAATAGCACACCCACTTGACTACAGCTCCTTCCCCCCCATTTCCCTTCCAGAAAGTATCTGATGAAGTGAAGAGGAAGCTGTGTGCAGATGAATGCATAAGCAAGCAGGCGCATCTTGTCCACCACCCCTCCTACTCCATTCACATCCACGGCATGTCCTCTACTTCCCTCCCTTCTATGATGCCTACTTTAAGCAACTGAAGGGGAACTCAGAGACTAAGCATCAGCACTAAGAAAGCCAGATTTGTCTGGCCAAGAGCAGACTCCAATGCAAATTTAACTTTATAGATATTTTAAGTTAAACCGGGAGAAATGACCATCTGGGTGCATTGTTATTCTGGGGTTACAGTTCTTACAAAAATTTACAAATCATATATAGTATCTAACCCACATATCTCTAACATGTTGTGATACAGTTCATAACCATTAACGCACCTGGTAAAACTTACACGTGCTTATGTAGCTATAGCATGTACTCTCCACTTTAGAATGTACCTTATAATTTGCCAAAGTCATTGGGCACACCCACAATTATTATTCAATAAATATATTAATTGGCTTTTACATGTACGCTACTGCACCCAATTTGGTAGACACAAAACACAAACCTGATCCAAATCACTGAAGTTTATTCTTTGCTTAAGCTTTTCCAGTTCTGCCTGCTCAGGGACAGACATCTGAGTCATGTATCTAGTATGAGGAAAGCTATGAGGGGTCTTTGATTTCCTCCGTCCAATTTCTGGTGTGGATTCCGGAGAGATGTCATTAGTAAGTCTTGTTTCACTTTCACCAACGATTTTTTTCCTGTTTTTCTCTGAAGATCGGTTTGGCCTCTTTGGCTGACCACCCCAACTCTTTGATAACAAAAGAGAAAGAAAAACATATGACACTGGAAAACAAAGATTCACTTCATGCTAATAACTTGGGGGGAGGATTAACTTAAATTGCGTTTGACTTCAAAACATGCATTCCGCAAGTTACAGTATACATAATAGAACGTTTCAGGAAGTATTTTCAACAATCTATATACTATTAGCCGCATGTGTCTGCTATTTGCTGATATATAAATCTGTGGATTGAGACCACATGGAGGCTAAGGAGATTTTTCGGCAAACTTGGGTCGCCCCTAGGTTTGCAGAAAAATCTTAAATCTTTTTTTTTTTAATACACAGGGGAATTTAAATTGCCCCCAAAGTAAAACAGCTCTTTCTGTGCAAGCGCAGAAAATGCTCTTTACTGCTTACCTTCTGTGGCGGCAGCAAGGCATCCCAGAGCCCAGTGGAGGCGGCAAAGCAGGCCAGGGGCCACCCTAGGCCCAGAGGTGGCTGCAGAGGAGCCCGGGAGCCATGAGAAAATGGGAGATAAGATTCCCCCTGTGAGTTCCTGGGTCTTCTCTATAGATGTCTCAATGGTGTCATGGGGAGGCAGAGAGGGTGAAGCCAGGAGCTGCACCAGGCTCCCTGGCTTCAGCTGTGAGGGGGGGGGGGCAGTTCCAGGAGTTGCAGCTGGGCCACAGGCAGAAGCCTGCATTGGGATCATGGAGGCCCAGTGGCAAAAGCTTTCAGAGCAGAGGGGCTTCAGGAGCTGTAGGCCCGGTAGCAGAGGCCTGAAGCCATTCTGTGTTCTCCAGCATTGATGTCAGGGTGTTGTTGGAAGGTGGGAGCCCAGAGAGACTCAGTTGCAACAAATGGGGGGGGGGGAGAACCATGACACTCATGGAGGATCCCCTTCCCCTCTTAGCTGGCAGTGACTGAGTGGGGAATAAAGAGGGGGAAGGGATCCACCCTGCGATTATCAAAACTCCTCACTTAAATCTCAAAAGCACAAGGGGGCAGGTGAGGTTGCTGGAGCCATTGTGGGAGGCCAGGAGAGTTGGTGCTGTCGTTGGTGTGTGTTGGGGGGGAATTGCCAAGTGGACGGGCAGGTGGCCAAGAAGGTTGGTGGTGCTGTTCCTGGAAGATGGAAGCTGCCAGCAAGCAGCCAGACATCTTGCTGATGTCTAGAAGAAATTAGTATCACGATCCACAACTGATCAGATAAAAAACTATGGCTGTACCGTATTGTTCAATCGATCGTCAAGGCTCTCATTGCCCCAGTTGGGTAAGTCATGATCCTCCATTCCTTCTTCAAAAGGACTGCCTCCTGCTGCCATGTTATACAACCAACCACCAAGATTATACCTGTAACAAAAAATAGAAATTGTGTTTAAAGTTAGGTTCTACCCACTGAACGCATTAACAAGAAGATTCCCCATGAATACAAGCCTATTTAAAGAAATATTAAATGTTCAGATTTCATTTTTATGATCACTTTTAAAAAAGCAAAACAACTTAATGAGCATCAAGGCAGAACTCAAGAACATCAACAATGTACAAAGAACATAAGAGAAGCCAACGTTGACGCCCACTCGCCCATCCTCGACAGATCCCTTTGGAGTGCCTCACAATCCTCACTGGTTTTCACCACCCTGAACAACTTCGTATCATCCACAAATTTAGCCACTTCACTGCTTACTCCCAACTCCAAATCATTAATGAATAAGTTAAAAAGCATTGGACTCAGTACTGATCCCTGCGGTACCCCACTATTTATCACCCTTCACTGAGAAAATTTCTGATTTATACTCACTCTCTGTTTCCTATTAATTAGCCAGTTTTTGATCCACAAAAGAACTTATCCTTTTATCCCGTGATTTTTGAGCTTACTTAGGAGCCTTTGATGAGGAATTTTATCAAAAGCTTTCTGGAAGTCAAGGTAAACAACATCTATTGGGTCCCCCTTGTCCACATGTTTGTTCACCCCCTCAAAGAACACTAACAGGTTAGTGAGACAAGATCTTCCCTTACAGAACTCATGCTGAGTCTGCCTCAATAGCTTTTGTTCATCAATGTGCTTACTAATTCTTTCCTTAATAACAATTTCCACCAATTTACCCGGTATCGACATCAGACTGACTGGCCTGTAATTTCCCAGATCTCCGCTGGAACCCTTTTTAAAGATGGGAGTGACATTAGCTACCTCCCAGTCCTCAGGAATGGAGGCAGGTTTTAATGAAAGATTACATATTTTTGTCAGGAGATCCACAAGTTCACATCTGAGTTCTTTCAGAACTTTCGGATGTATGCCATCCGGGCCTGGTGATTTATCAGTTTTTAAGTTGTCTAACAGTCATAGGACCTCCTCTCTCATCACCTCAATCAGACTCAGGTCTTTCAACACCCCTTCCGAAGTCAGCGGTTCTGGAGTGGGCAAGCACTTCTTATCTTCCACAGTGAAGACAGAGGCAAAACATGCATTCAGCTTCTCAGCCATTTCCCTATCATCCTTCACTACTCCTTTTACCCCTTGGTAATCCAAGGGCCCCACTGCCTCCCTGGCTGGTTCCCTGCTTCTAATGTATTTGAAGAAAGTTTTATTGTTGGTCTTTACGTTTTTCGCTATATGCTCCTCATATTCCCTTTTTGCCTGCCTGATCACAGACTTGCATTTTATTTGCCACAGCCTATGTTCCCTTTTATCAGCCTCGCTGAGACTAGCTTTCTACCGCTTAAAGGAATCCTTTTTACCTTTTACAGCTTCCATTTACTATGCTATGTCAGTCCATCAACCCCCCCAATATTTTGATAATTGATTTTTTAATCCCAAATAAGGAATGCTAATTTAAATGAGGAAACTCTTGCAATTCTGTGGAACCCAGGAAATAAGCCCCAAACAATCGAGTGCATCTCGCTTCAAACAAAAAAGGCACGGGATAATACTGTTTATCATGTTACATCCGAGTAGAATGGCTTCACTGTTTCCAAATCAAAACCCTAAAAGGTAAGATTTTCTTATCAGACAGCTGCTGACCATGGGAGCCACTTGCTTGGCAGCAGCACAAGCAGGCAGCACCCATGGCCCTCATGTGAGATCAAGCAGCATGTTTTTGTACTGTTTTCTGTTATATAAAATAATTTTTTAAAAAAAAGTGAGATCAAGCAGCAGAACAGCAAGGAGTGCTTCTCAGCAGCAGAGCAAATGGAGGAGCAGGGATGGGCACAAACCAGGAAAATCGAGGTTTGTTTCGGTTTGTGGTACTGCATGAACCACAAACCTTCACAGACCTCCCCATTTACTGAATCAGTTCATTTCGTGAGGTTCGTAATGTGGTAGAACAACCCCCCTGCAGCTAGAGACAGTGCAGAAGGAGAACTGAACAAACATCCCGGGGTCAGCTTCTCCTCCCGCAGACCTGTAAAACATGCCGCAGGAAGAGAAGCCATGGCAGCCAAGATCTGCCTGTGGCCAGGAGAGCCCTTCCTGCTATGCAGACCCTGGAGTCACCTTTCTCCCAACCGTGGCCAAGAGAAAGCGGGGAGGGGATCTGCCGGGAAGGGCCTCCCTTTCTCCTGGCTGCAGTGAGCCTCAGCCAGGAGAAAGTGCAAAGGACATCTCCTGGGATGATCTTCCTTCCACCTTTCTCTCCGCATGCAGTGGGGAGGGCTCTCCTGGCTGCAGGCAGATCCTGGCTGCCATGGCTTCTCCATTTCAGCAATCTCTTGGAAGCGGGGGGGGGGGGGCAAGAAGGATCGCTGAAATGGCTTGCATCCATTTCAGCCTAACAGCTGTTGGGCGCACCAGCCCCGCTGTTAGACTGAAATGGATGCAAGGCATTTTGGTGGTCTCTCCCCCCCCCCATTTCCCACAAGCTGCACGAACCTAAAAAAAAAAAAGACACCATGGAGCGTCATGCGAGGGTTGATGGGGATGGGCACAAGCCTTGATTTGTGAAATACGATCCAGCAATTTTTATGAATTTAGGTTCATGCCCATCCCTAGTTAGTACCCAAAGCCCACTAAGACTCTGCATGCTCTCAGAGAGCAGGCAGTGGCAAAGCAGGGGCAGTTTGGTATTCCAGTTAACCAGGTGCCTAATAAGACAGCTTCTGCTTTTTATAAGCAGTTCTATAAGCTTGCTCAAAGGTAAAATTACCCTACTGATACTGCCATCTTCTCTCAAGATTTAATAAACCTAAATCTTTATTGAACTCATCTGTGTGTCAGCTAATGCTGCCATGGTGTGGAATGTGTGGGTTGCTCTCCATGTCTCTCTCCTCCCATCCCCCCCTTCCTTCAGTCTGCGTGCTGTTATCTATCTAGTGTCCTTGAAGGCTTTACTCTGCTAGCTCCGAGCTAATAACCGTTGCTTTTTGCCCACATTTTCAGGTGCTTGCCCATTGGCTTTATTGCATCAGGGGGTCATATATGAAGGGGGTATATCTGTAAGCTCAGCTCATTTGCCTGCCATTCCTGACACAAGAGTTCATGATGTCCTAAGTATTAGTCCTCAATAAACTGAAACTTCTGAATGAACGTTGTTGAGTGTTTTGACTGGGAACCCTGACACTGTGCATACTTTGAGCTAGAAGATCTCTCTGCTTGCTTTTCCAGGTAGTCTTTTTATGCTCATCTTCCCTGAAGCTATTTTCAGAAGAATCCTCTTATAAAAGCTTTGCTGTCCTGCAATGGACTCTTAACTTCCATGAATACCAGCACATGGCTTATAAGTTGATACTAACTTCTGACACAAATCTGTTGTACTTCAAACAATGTCAAGCAAAAATTAAACAAAATGGAAAGGCAAAGAGTGGCTTACTTTACTTTCTGTATTACAAAACTCCTCAATACTGTAAAATACCATCTTTTTCTCTTTCAGTCCACTTATGTAGAGAAAACAAACCTGATTTCATTTTCAGAGACCTGATCCTGAAATACTCAAGACCATAATAAAACTGAGGTTGCATACACATAGTTTTCCTCAATTTCAGCATTCTGGAAAATTTAACAGACTACAGGCTATTCTATTTAGGAAGTATTTGGCTTTAAACTATGTACGAAATGTTCAAAGCAGTGTCTATACCACTGATAAAAGTCATACCAGTTATACAGACTTTCCTATATGTCCACCACTAGCTAACATCAAAAGTAAGAAAATAGATCCAGCACAATTCAATACTGCTGTCAACAAATTAGACAGCCATGAAAATCAAACTGTGCAACATAAAGTTATAGTAAATGTCACAGCCTAAATAATCATCTTCTGCATATAATATACAAAGGAGCAAAGACAGTACCACGGCAGGGGAAGAATTTTGATCCATACCTGTTCTTTCCTAACTAAAGTTAAGCCAACCAAACTTAGTAGAGTGTTACTTCCAAATTAGCATTCACATACTTAAATTGTTGTGCCCCAAATGCCAGTCTATCATAAATTAGCCCAGCCCATCCACACTATAAAAAGTTTCTTCAAGACCAGCATGTCTCAGCTATGCTATACTAAAACGTGGAGGAACAGTTCCCTGTGCCTAACTACCTACCCAGCCAGTGGCACAGATCCCAGGTTCTTCAAGTGCCATTTACAATGGGGCAAAACTATGTTTTCAACCATCAGTTAGTTCTCTTTTCTAAACATCTGGCACTTAACTTTACATCAATTCTTTTCACAATCAGCTTAAACATTTCTCAAAGCAAGCATCATGTAAGAAAATGAGATCCCTTTCAAAGTTAATAAACCCACTTAAAATAATGAAGCAGGCGCTACATCCTGCCATCTTTTTATTGTTACAAGCTGGGTATTTTCCACAGTAGAACTACAGATCAAAATAACAAAATCAGTTGTGTGATGGAATTACCATTTACATAGAGTAGTGAATTCTACACTGTAAACACTTCAGAACAAAAAAGAAAAAAAGAAGTCTGCAGCCAAGTTCCAATTCACCAGTGTGCTTATCCTCTGTGAAAAGCAGCTAAGATTGCAAAAAGGATCCAATTATAAGGTTGTGTGCAACTGTCTGGCTGTGACTGGGATGATTTTCTATCATGTTTAATTGAAGGACATCTCCTGCACAGAACCTTCCTATAGAAGGAAACAACAGTGGACTGGCAAGAACAAGTCAATCTGAGCCAGCACTACAGGTGCCATTCAGCTCAGATCGGGCCAGCAGTGCCATCTCTCCCACGGCTTGTGGTGGCAGTAACGGGTGACACCAAACATTGTTGCTGCCAAACAGCCAGAGCCAAGCAACTACTGTCCACAGCACCAGTGAAACACCTGTGGAGATAAGCCATAATCTGGAAACAAATTTCTTATGTGAGCGAGCCAAGTTTCTTTAAAAATATAGCCTGGCATTCGGGGCACAACAACACGATTCTACGCCTGCTGCTTATTTGGAAGTGACTCCTCCTCCACTGAGTTCAGTTGTGCTTCTCTCCTATTTGGTAATCCAAGGGTTGCGACCAATGCTCCCTCTAAGATGTGGAGTCTTGTGAGCAAAAAAAATATTTTGTGAGCTACTGACATTAAAGCAAGCAATTTGGCTGCATAAATTAGTTTGCTCTGGAGCCATCCTTCCTGAGCTAAGTCAAAAATGTGTGAGCCAGAGGCTAAAGAGCTAGCTCACACTAACTCAGCTTAGAGGGAACATTAAAGGTAAAGGTTCCCTTGCACGAAAGCCAGTCGAATCCGACTTTAGGATTGCGGTGCTCATCTCCGTTTCAAAGCCGAAGAGCCAGCACTGTCCGAAGACTTTTCCGTGGTCATGTGGCCGGCATGACTAAACACCAAGGCGCACGGAACGCTGTTACCTTCCCACCGAAGTGGTACCTATTTATCTACTTACAATTTCTTGCTTTCGAACTGCTAGGTTGGCAGGAGCTGGAACTAGAGATGGGAGCTCACTCCGTCATGCGACACACTCACACTCGGGTCTTGAACTGCTGAACTACTGACCTTCCACAGCCTGTAGTTCAGCGTCTTAACCACTTGAACCACCGCAGCTCCCTCTGAGGGAACATTGGTTGTGACCAAAAGCTCTGCTTTCTTCCAGGCCACCAGGATCCCTCCAGCCCCTTTCCCAATAAAGTCAAATGATTAGTCCACCCAACACAAGAAGAGAAAGGAGATACTTTGACGTGTGGCAGGTAGTTCAAGCGGTATCTTCTCCCACAAAGTGTGGGACGGGTTACCGAACCCGGACTTCATAAATCCCTTCTTTTACAGACTACAGGATAAGCGCACTGTAGGGCGAGCGCATTACAAAAATGGACTCCTATCAGATATCCATTCCCCCATGGCGTGAGAGAGAATGGCCTCTGCAATGGGTCCCACCACAGCGTTTAGGCCGGCGAATCCCCTTCCCACCATTCAACAGCATACACTCAAAAACTTAACACGCGGCCCACCTGCTGCGTCTGAGCTAGTCGGATCCTCTATAGGTCGGGACGGGAGGGCGGCTAAAGCTCCCCTTCGTCGGAGTCCGCCTGCCTTCACAACACGCCCCGCCCGCCCCCCCCCACTCGGAGGAAGGTCGGTTGGCGGGGGTGGAGTCCCGAGATGAGGAG